TTGTCATCAATCACCAAAAAGGGGGAAATTGAAAGCATCTAGGCCCCTAGTTGGGTTTCGGTGATTAATGACAATACATGATTACGGTGACTAACGTGTGTTTTGCAGAGGCAATTAAGTTAGGTCATGGTAATGGAGATCGATTGGGCAATCAAGGTGGTCATGCCCCTACGATGGAAATCATTTCGGTTTTCAAAGGATGGACGACAAGGTTAAGGATGGACTAGTTCTAAGTGTCGTTTGGTGTTGAAGAGACACTTAGAGTAGTTTAGGACTTTGCTTTTCCTTTGGCCATACTATTAAGGAGGGTATGGATGGGTAGCTTGACCTAGGTGAGTCTAGTGAGTTATGTGTGGTGCACACTTGTTAAAACTAGCACTAGGTAGCTCCAAAACAGCCCTTAGATCCAATGGAGCAAACTTCATTCACATATGATCGAGAGTTGAAAGTGAATGGAGGGTCAAATATTGACCGGACACTGGTTCCGGTTTGACCGGACGCTGGCGCAGAGTCCAGTCAGTTCATTTGACCAAGGTGAAATCGTCTGGCGTGACCGGACGCTAAGAGGTGAAGTGACCGGACGCTGAGAGCCAGCGTCCAGTCGACTCCAGTAAGGTTCTAGAGAGGGAAAATCACGACCGGACGCGTCCAGTCAGTGCTGACCGAACGCTGGCCAGCGTCCGGTCACACTGTAAACACTGGAGTTCATGGTGTACTGACCGGAGCGTCCGGTCACCCCGCAGAGGCACATAACGGTTCGTTTTTTAGCCCATGTTATAAATACCACCTCCACTCGTGTGTGGGGGTACTTTTGCTCATTCCAACAGCTGAGAAACACCTTAGAGAGTGCCAAGAAGAGCAAGGTCCTAGTGAGGTGATTGAGATTTGAGAATCCCAAAGAGAGCCCTCATTAGTGAGATCAAGAGTAGCAAAGTGTGCATCCACCCTTCTCATTAGGCTTGTCGTGGTCAAGTGAGAGTTCGTGCTTGTTACTCTTGGTGATCGCCATCACCTAGACGGCTTGGTGGTGATTGGGAGCTTGGTGATCATCCGGAGAGCTTGTGGATGACCCAACTCAAGTTGTGAGCGGTTGTGGGTGATTCACCGCGATGGAGTGTCGAAGAATCAACCCTTAGAGAGCACTTATCCTTGCGCGGATCAAGGGGGAGCTACACCCTTGCACGGGTGCTCCAACGAGGACTAGTGGGGAGTGGCGACTCTCCGATACCTCGGCAAAACATCGCCGCGTTCTTCCTCCTCTCTTTACTTTGAGCATTTACTTTGAGTAATTCAATTCTTGTCATTTACATTCTTAGAATTGTCATCTAGAGTAGGATTGGAACATAGGTTGCAAGTCTTTTGTGCGATAGAACAATTAGAAACACTTTCTAGGCACAAGGGGTTAATTGGGCTAACCATAGGATTTAATTATTGCAAAGAAATTTAGAATTAGCTCAATTCACCCCCCCCCCTCTTGGGCATCTTGATCCTTTCAGGGAAGATACAAGACGCTTTCACGAGCACTGAACCCAAGATGGTGGAGCTGAGGACGCAGATGTTTCGCCAGGCTAGCATGTTGCTGCCATAGGGTCAAGCCGCCCTACAAGGGCAGATGGTGCCATGGACCAGACAACTCCCTAGGTACCCGGTCGACAAGATCATTGAACCAACGAGCTGCACGCTCTAGGTGCCCTTCGGCAGGGCACAGCGGAAGAAGGACATGGCCACAGGAGTGGCACTGCCGCTCGAAAGTGGCGCCATGTACGACGGCAAGCCGATCCCGCCCGACTATGCCCTGGTCGACGTGACGTGGACCAACAAAGATTTTGACGATGATGAAATCGACATTACCACTGAAGAGGGGTATAGGTTCATCGGCGCTACTATCAACATGCGCGTGCTATGGAACAAGAGCGACATTGTCTTGGACATGCCGTTGCCGGCGTCACAGCCCTCTCACCCGCCATTGTCTCCCCCGGGAGACTCGGGTGACGACGACGACGATGACGACGGCGGCGATGACAACGACAATGCTGGCGGCCCAGGCAACAGTCCTCCAGGCAGTCCGCCTCCTGACAACAGTAATCCACAGGGAAGCACAGGGGCAGCATCGGGCGATGTGACACCACCGCCTACAAGTAGTTCAAAGCAGGGCTCAAACCAATGTCCTCTCCTGCCGAGGAAGCCTGCAGATGAAGAGGAGGCCATGCCCCCGAACCACACCAAGTCGAGTTAGGTGGCCTATCAAATAGCCGACAAGCACCCATACTCAACTACGTTTGAAAGGTATGCTACTAGCAAGCATAGTCAATCTATAATTCATTTCGAGATGCTATCTGCTTTTTCCACTCCCTAACATCTCAAAGCCCCGGTGTTGTAGGCCGAAAACACCACCGTCATTTTGGCCCTGGTCGGATGATTGCCCCAAAAACTACGTGCATGGGAAGTTCATGTTGACCTTGGGCGACCTCCTTGAAGAGATGTAGGAGGTAAGGAGGTTCCATCTGTGGTACATGGAAGCAGCGAAAGTGGGCCTGGAAAACTTCATCATCAACATTCCGGCGGAGTACTTCAACATGCCCACGGATGGTGAAGTCATTGTAGATTTCCACAACATGCGTAGACTACTATGGCGAAAGGACCTTGATGTCGCCCAAGTCACCTTATTTGCCTTGTAAGTTACTTATGACTTTGACACTACTGCATCGCTGTAGGTACTTTAGGAACAAACTAATAATGCCATGATGACTTTTCCTTGCAGGATGCAGGCCTATGTAAGCAAGGAATTGGGCAAGGATATTATCTATCTCTCTCTGATGCTCATTATAGAGAGAACCATCGCGGGTTACGATGTACTGGACACTCATGAAAAGCTGGTGAACTTGAACCCGGAGGAGAGAAAGAAATATAGGGAAGATCTGGTAATCGAATATAAGTATCGGGCAGGAATGTACATCTATGAGGCCATGAAGAAGATTCGGGGAAATGGGTGCGTCATGGCCGCCCACCAGTTCAGGTAAGTCCAAAAGATACTTGGAACATATATATAGGTATTAGGATCATGACTTCTCATATTAGAACATTTCTAATCTGTATTGTGTGAATGGTGCAGCCAGGGCATCATGGGCCACTGGATTGCGTTTATAATCTATCCTCAGGATGGAAGGGCCTGTATATTTGACTCTTTATGGGATACAAACAAAGCAGGGTACAAGCAATTTGAAAGCTGTTTGAGATAGTAAGTGACGGAACTTATTCATTTACAGTTAACATACTTGTTGAAAATGTCGTTGACACTAGTGGTTTTTCGTACGGCGCTTATAAGAAGTACGTGAAAGATCCCGGCTGCTATGATCAGAGATCTGAGAAGAAGAAGATCAAGAATGGCACAAAACTAAAACTCAGGCGTGAGTTCCCGGTAAGTACCAATACTACTACTACTGCTCTTCTCCTAATACTACACCTACTACTCTACTCTACTCTAGTACTCCTACTACTACTCTACTCTACTCTACTCTACTACTACTACTAGTTCTACTACTCCTACTTGATTGTTTATTATATATGCTCTAATAATTGTGTATTATACATCATGCAAAGTCGCTAAACAACCCTATGGCTCAGTTCTATGTAGATTCTACGTTTGAGAGTATTTGAGGATGTGCAAAGAGATTCAAGAAAGAACAAGCGGCAGCTCAAGAAAGCACAAGGATGGTGGCGAAGGGAGAAGGTCGACCAAGACTTCGAGACAAACAAAGAGCAAATATATATAAGTTTGTCACAGAGAGCGTGCATGAAGGGAATACGTTCTTCAACCAGAAAAGCGAGTTAGCGCGGGATTTGAAGTTCGAGACGATCAGAAACTGGAGCGCCGGACCTCTTTTTCCAGTAAAAAATGATATGTATGAATGACCTTAGTTGCTGATGTACGAATGATTTGTGTTTGTAAAACAATCATGAAGACATCACTACTGTAATAACTTAATGTCGGTTCGTCGAACGAGAACGAATGTAATATATGTTTGTCATCTATTTTCTGCTTTATTTGTGTTTTCATTAGCGAAATTTTAAATTCTAATTTGAAAAAGTATTCTTTTTTAAATCTAGAAATCATTAACCGAGGCGGCCAAGTAATAAAACCGCCTCGGTTAAAATCTTAACCGAGGTGGACGTCTTTATTCAACCGCCTCGGTTAAAATCTTAAGCGAGCGCGAAGCGCGCACGAGGCGGATAGCTTATGATGTCCGCCACGGTTAATCTATTAACCGAGGCGGTTGGGCCACGATTAACCGTGACCTTCGCGCCGAGGCGGTTGGCTTGCCCGCCTCGGTTAAGGAAAAGTGCCCATCAATTAAAATTCCTGTAGTAGTGAATGATTTGTTTTTTTATATACTAGTAGCCTGATATGTACTTAATATCGTGCAAAATTCCTGGAGGTTCTTGCCCCATTACAACTTCGTCAAAAGGGGGGGGGAGCAATGTTTATACACTACGCCACCCTAATGTGTACATATTATCATGCTAATAAAGTTGGATCTGTTTAAATAATGATTTGTTTTTGGTATATACTAGTAGCCTGATGTGTACTTAATATCGTGCAAAATTCCTGGAGGGTTCTTGCCCCATTACAACTTCGTCAAAAAGGGGAAAAGAAAAGGGGAGCAATGTTTATGCACTAGCACTACTAGCAAGCAATGATAAGAGAAACAGAGTAATAATGATCCAGTTATTCGCTTGGCTGCTTACAAGCAAGGTTCGTCATCTGACAGGGCAGGGCATACATAAGAGTTTGTTGCCTTGCACTAGAACATGAATCAAGCTAGAAATACTTGAACAACAATTTGCACTGCAAAGATTCTTCAAAAGGAAAGGAAGAATATATATACGACATTGCAGTGTGCATGTGACCGGCTTCCCTGCCTCACCGGGTTTGGTTTTGCAATAGCAAGATTTGGTTTGCAATTTTCACCAGACTGGACGCTACCTGGAATTTTTCCTTCTCAGAATAGGTTCATCCGTGAAAAGCCTCCCGTCACCGTCATGTGCCGCTGATGGTTCATTGACGTTCCTTGACACCCGAACTTCTCCCGAAGGAAGTTGATAAAATCTCCAATATCTACCTCACCCGCGATATTGCCGCAATTCCACGTTCGCTGGCTGCTACTTGAAGCCACGTTCCCAGTTCTTGCTTTTCTGGCTGCGGAAATGTAATTTACGCCACGCCGCTTGCGCCTGCTGCTCTTCAGCTGTGTCACTTTGGCAAGCCTTTTGATCCTTAGGCGTGGTGACTTCAGCTGGAGATTCCTTAACCGAACCATCTTCCTGGCATCACCTGCTGAATTCTGTATCACGGTACAGAAGGCAAAGGGATCAGGTGAAAGATGTGCATAAATCCACTGTGAAAAGATTTAAGCAATTAGACTTAAACCCTAGGACCAGGAATGTTGGGACTCTGAGGCAGGACTGCAGAACAGCGTGGTGTATTTCTGACCTCAAAGCGACAGTTGTAATGCTAAGGACAACTCAGGCATAGATCGTACAAATTTCAATTTCTACATGGCAAGGGCCCAAAATTATGATGATCAAAGAATAGACATGGGCATCAATTATTTTGTCACAGTATATGCTTTCAAATTCCACCAAACGTCATCTTTTATCCTTTTTTCATGGGATAATAAACAGTTGATTCTTCAGGTCTACAAAAGAACTTTACTGCTGGTACCTGACTCATTGGGTCAATTTGGATCCGTGGAGGCACAACTATAACATTGATAGAGCTCATACGTCCGACCTAAATTTGAAGAGAAGATGAATGTCAACAAAATAACCTCTGAAATATAAGAAGGTTCTCAACAAGAGAGGGTATTCAAATAAACCATCTGCACCAGTTGTTAATTTCCTGCACCTAGCAGAGCACTAGTGCTATAGATTAAGAAAAATGGTACTCATATACCTCCCACAATATTGCAATATAAACTACCATCAACAGAATCAGCCATCCAAAGACTGTCATTTGTCAGGTATGCATCAATTGCATGCTTTCAAATTTGAACGATCCAGTTCAACCATCACCAATTACTTGCCATAATGAAACAAACATTTGATTAACTTTCGAATGAACAGGCGCATATAATATACCATCAGCTTACCTTGTCAATTGAAACATTTTGGCATATACCATTCTCCTGTTCTATATGCTTGACACATCCGACCTGAATACAGAAAGAACAGATAAGTTGCATAATTGACGAGATGAAAGAATATGTCATGCTATATTTCATTATCTGACTTTTTTTCTCAAAATCACAGGAGAGCTGTGTATCATTATATTAATAAGAAAAGGGTACAAGTACAAGAAACTGTACATCACACACACCCCGGCACTATATTGGATTGCATTCGTGCCCTTTGAAACTAAGACAAGAAATGAACTTGACCTGAATACTATTGGGTGGTTCCACACTATAAATATGTCATGAACTGTTCACAATTGACATCCTATAAATTACATGCAACATATAGAAGAAAAAAGCATTGGTGCATCAAGATAAAGATATTTCACGACTGTATGTATAGCATGAATGCATGATTGCTGTTAGAATATATATGTGTTGTGCGTGTGTATATGTTGGGCGTGTGCCTGGTATAGCCGGCCAACCCTATATATGGTTAGAGAGATATCAGGAGGAGATCTCGGCAGGTCCTATTTCTATAAGCCACCAGATCTCCTCTCCCATATATATGTACATAGGTCTCTCCAATCAATTCATCTACGATTCCACGCAATCCTAATTGCTATCATGGTAATCTTATCTCCTGGTCCTCCAAGCGCCAGAACACAGTATCCCGCTCTAGTGCAGAAGCTGAGTATCGTGCGGTCGCCAATGCCGTTGCTGAAGCCTCTTGGATACGACAGTTGTTGTCTGAGCTGCATACACCTCTGCACCATGCCACTTTGGTCTACTGTGACAACATCAGCACCGTATATATGTCTTCCAACCCCGTTCGGCATCAGCGCACCAAGCACATTGAGATTGATCTTCACTTCGTTCGAGAACGAGTGGCCCTAGGTGTTGTCCGCGTTCTTCACGTCCCAACGACATCTCAGTTCGCTGACATCTTCACCAAAGGCTTGCCCACTGCTGTCTTCACGGAGTTTCGATCCAGTCTCAACGTTCGCTCCATCGACACTGTGACTGCGGGAGGATGTTAGAATATATATGTGTTGTGCGTGTGTATATGTTGGGCGTGTGCCTGGTATAGCCGGCCAGCCCTATATATGGTTAGAGAGATATCAGGAGGAGATCTCGGCAGGTCCTATTTCTATAAGCCACCAGATCTCCTCTCCTATATATATGTACATAGGTCTCTCCAATCAATTCATCTACGATTCCACGCAATCCTAATTGCAATCAATTGCCATAACTGTAATTAATCTTCGCAGAGCTATCTAGGAAATCATAGTCCATAAGCAGAATGTAAAGATATATATATGCACAGTAACTTACATGGTGTATGTTGATATTTGGAATACGAGCCAAGATGGCTCTGGTCATTTCACCAGGTAACTCTAACTTAGCTTCATGAAGAAACCATTTGTAGCTCCCTGCAAGAATGGAAGTTGTAGCAAATAATGGGGAAAATCACAAGGTAGATGGCACATTTCAATACTCAGACTCTGCAATGAAGCGATTCTTCCCAAAGACACTGGTATATCACAGAGTGAAAGCTCCAACACCTCAAGGCTGGTTAATGTTCCTATGCTTTCTCCCCAAGTGTTCAAACCTTCACATGACCTTATTGACAGGAACTTAAGTGAACTTAAGGAACTAAACAAATGAAGTTGGTCCTCCCTTGAAATGATAAGTCACAGAACTGGAAGCTTAACCTTCTTGTTGGCCTAGGGTGTAATTGTGAAGGTGTGACTGGCCATCCTTGCAAGATCTCACCACATGCATCAATTTCCAATAAAAGGCACTGTGGAAGAGATGGTTCAAATATCAACTTTGGGCACCATGATACCTTCAGATGGTGAAGGTTAGGGAACATATACACATGGGCCTCTTCATTGCTAGTTGATAGAGTTAACAGACACCTTTCTAGGTTTGGCATATCACTGATGGTGAGGTCCCTTAATTTCAAAAATGCTCTGCTGCCACCAGCAAAATCTTCTCTAACAGCCTTGACATTTGGTATATTATTTATGACCAGAGACTGCAATTTTGGTAGCTGGCCAAGAGGGGGCAGATGGTCACATGTAGCAAGGCCAGAAAGCTTAAGGTGCACAAGGTTTGGCAAAATGGTTGTCAGATTCAGCATCCACTCAGGAAATTCTGAACCACGATAGCCCAAAAGTTCAAAGTGTTCCAGGGTCCTTGGAGGTATGATCTTTTCAAGTACAATGTCATCTGGTACAAATTTAGCCACTTCATTACCATTCAAGTAGGAGCTACTAAGTCTTAATGAGTTGAGCTGCTGATGCCTGCACAATCCTAAGTTCTCAACCTCATCAATGCTTTGCACAGTGCCGAGACCCAAAAGATGGAGTCTTTTGTGCTTTAAGATCCCATGGAAGTCGCCACTGGGGCTGTCCTTTTCAGTTAAATCTATACTAGGCATACATAGTAAGCTACTTACAATATTGAAATCATCCTTATTCTTACAAGAGTAACCATCCAACCCAACCGCCAACAAACAGTTGAGGTTAGACATATTGGCTATGCCATAAGGGATACTACTGACCTTAAAACAATATGATATGTTCAAAAGCTTAAGTTTCTTTAAGCTGCCGTAGTCTCCAGGCATCTTTTCAAGGCTAATGCAGCATGACAGATTTAGGTGTTCTAAATTGGTGAGGTTAGTAACACTCTCAGGCAATGCAAAAAGTTGTGAGCAACATGATAGGTCCAAAACCTGAATTTTCCGTAGGCACCCAAGCAATTCTGGAAGCTTTACTAGCTCCCAGCAATCAGATAAGATTAGTTTCTCTATGTTTACAAGGTCAGTAAAGGAATCAGGCAATGCTTGAAGTCTGTGGCAGTCACTTAGATCCAGAATACAAAGCCCATGAATTTTTCCAAAATCTTCTGGAAGTTCTTGAAGTTCATAACAGCATGACAAATTGAGATCCTCTAAATGTAGGAGGTTACAAAATGACATGGGTAAAATGCGGATTTTATGACAATTGGACACGTCCAGTATGAGGAGTTCTTGATGATTGCCTAATGGCAACTCTCTAAGTTCATGACAGAATGACAAGTTAAGGTTCTCCAAGTAACAGAGGTCGCAAAATGATTCCGGCAAGCTAACTAGGTTGAGACAACCAGACATGTCCAAGAATGATAGTTTCTGGAGCTTTCCGAAAGATGTGGGCAGAACTCGTAGGTTAATGCATCCTGATAGGTCTAGATGCACCAAATCCCTTAGTTCACAAATGGACTCAGGAATTAACATGAGGCGAGAACAGCCATGAAGGTTTAAGTAATGCAATTTCTCAAGGTTAACTATTTGAACTGGCAATGTCTGAAAATAACTTGCTGAAAGGTTTAGTGCATTTAGGCATTGTAAACCAGCGAAAAGACTCCTGTTTCAATTCATTCTGCATTCCCGATGCATCAAGATAACGTAACTGCTTCATCTTGTTAAGTTGACTTGGTAACTCTAAGATAGAACAACCACTTATGTCCAAGACTCGCAAGAATTTACTCAGGGTCAGGAGAGTGATCTCCCAGAAATCTGCAGCCTTTTGCAATCTCTAAAATGAAGTGATTTTGCCTTACAGAGTGCAGCCTTGCTGTTCATTGGTACCTCAATGCAATTCATCAGCACTGTATGTCGGTAATGATCACTTCCAGCACTAGTCGTGCTACTCTTTTTGGCATCCATGAATAGGAATTCTTCATTAGCAACACATCTTGCAAGGTCATACACCAAATCATGCATCTGGAATACCCTTGCAGCTTTCGTGATGGTTAGCCGCCTGATGTGTACATAATGAGTTTAAACGCATAAGCAAATCGAATAAGAATTAAGAACATATCAACAAAAGTAAATATTATGAAAACTATGGCAGATGACTAAGATGACATGCAGTGTAAACAACACCCTAAGTTCAGCAGTATAGTGGAATATGAATTTCATAATCATGTAAAAGTGACTCACTGAGGATGATAACATTGAAGCCTGAAGGAAGGACATGCTCACTAGTTCACGGATGTACTCCTCACCGCTTTTTGCAAGTGTCAAGCTTCCACTAGTGGGTTGAATGAATCCAAGTGCAATCCACTGCTGTATCAGCATGTCCTTGTCTATGACAGCTCCTTTGGAGAAAACTGCACAGTATGCAAAGCACAGCCTCAGGTGACAAGGCATGAGGCAATAACTAAGCTTCAAAGATGGCATGATATTCTGATCTTCTTCTATCTCCCAGATTTCACTGTCCCTCACTGCTTCCCATGCAGCCACCCCTTCCTTGAATCGCATCATGAAACCCAAAGCTTGTGCAGACAAAGGCACACCATTGCACTTCTTCACTATATCCTTTCCAATTACTTCTATCCTAGGATCATCCCTTCCAGGAACAAAGGCCTGTCTCTTAAACAAAATCCAACAATCATCATCAGATAGGACATCCATCTTGTAAGGCATGCAATGATCCATCAGGGAAGCAATCTTCCCAGTGCGTAGTCACAATGATCTTACTTCCCTTTGCACCACAGCTGAGCATTGTCTTCAGATTTTGCAATTGGATCCAATTGTCTTCCCATAGGTCATCAAGAACAACCAAGAACTTCTTGCCAGCAAGTACTCTTTGGAGATGACGAGTAACCTCCTGAAGGTTTGCATGGTGGCCACAGTTACCTTCATCAATTTCAGAAAGTATAGATTCACCAATTTTCTTCAGATCAAATTTCATAGATACATAGACCCATACTCGGTAATCAAAAACTCTCCCAACATTTTCATCATTGAAAGCTAACCTGGCAAGAGTGGTCTTACCAAGGCCACCAAAACCATAAATACAGAGGGTCAAAAATTTTCTTCACTATATGTTGTCAACATAGCAACTATAGTTTCTTTCTCCATGGCCCTCCCCACAATCTCTTCACTGATACAAGAAAATGTAGCCCTGCTATTAACATTTTCATCCAAGAAGCAATAATCAGCCTTGAAATTGAATATATCCAGTTTTGCTTCTTCCTTAATCTTCTCCAACCTCTGTCTCATCTTCTTCATCTTGTGAGCAATGGTGATGTGTGCGCTAAGCTGTGCCACATGTTTTAGACTTCAATTTCTGAGGTAAAGTTACATAATTCACAGAGAAAGCTTTTCCCTAACTAATTCCTATCCCTATGCTGAAAATAAATAACAGAAATTTCTGTAACCATTGTTGTTTAACATCATGCTTTGTGTGGTAGATTAGCTTCTTTCGTTGCAGTTGACACAGGATTAGGGGCCATGGTATTGGTTTACAGAGAGGTTTCCATACTGCCAGCAAAGAGTGGGTAGCTAAATTTCCAAAAGAGATCACAGAGACTTGTTTAATAGGTGGTACTCTGCTGTTATTAACAGTCCTTTCTCAGGCTTCAAAAGACTTGGAGCCTAATGCTCACTGAAGGAGAACACACAGATGATGTAACAGCCTAAAAATCAAACGATTCCAAAACCGTATACATGCTAGAAAGCACACTCCCTGCTTCCTTGCCTGCATATAAACTTCAAGAAACCTAGTTGACTATCGTGTTACAACTTTAAGTTATATTGGTGCACAAATTATATCAGAAACTTGGACAGCTACCACTAACTGCATGTTTACCATTACACTTACAATCAAACAAAAGAAATTTTCAAATCAAAACATGCAATATGGTATAGCTCAGTAGCTATTAATTTATATACACCACAGATGGTAGCTTTAAAACAAGTACTAAGGATTACCCGACACCGACATATTGAACAGAAACATAGCAATATACTTTTTCAATCCATTCATTTAACAGAAATATACTTAAATGCAGAAAATGTTTAAATCAGAAAATAGAAAAAGGTGATCACCTTCTTAAGTGAACCACAGCCAATGTCGTTCTTGGATTCCATTTCCTCTAAAATGTCATGAATGTCATAAGCAGCAAACTTAAGCCTCTTGAGCCAGAGGTGCACACGTTCCTCTCGTGAAGACCGCTTCTCAGCGTCATCCAACACAGCTTGGAGTGTCAACAGTGTGCTTCTGATCGACTCGAAGTCATCCTTGAACTTCCACAGCAAGCTGACCTCAGGCCCAATAACCGCACCAAGCTTCCCCATGACCACCTTCAGGACAGCCGATGCAAGCATCTCACCGACAACTGTCCCCATGGTCATGGAACGGCTTTAGTTGTTGTGAAGCGTAATGGAGTGGAGTGAAGTAGTGAAAAAATATTGATTTGCAATTCAATGTATGTGTCGAACTCCTGAAGTTTTTTGGCTGAGTGAAGCTCTTATAATGGCCATTCAGCTTGAGTGCCGGTGCATTTCATGGAAGGTGGGAGTCAAGTCAAGCCGTCTTGGCCAGGCACCCTTAATAACAAATGAAAAAGGTTAGGTAGACTGCTTTCCTTTCCGTTACTTTTCACCTTTCCCTTTTTTTCTTGTTGGTGGAAATCTCAATCTCAAAAACTCAATTTAAATCCTAAACTGCCCTCGAATCATGTAACGAAATATTTTGCAAACAGCAACTCTGAATGAAAATTGACAAAAGAACCATTTATATCTGCAATCGCCAACCATCTTACCCACTGCAATGAATTGGTAAGCGCATACATTCCAATTAACCAAAAACTAAAAGCTGATTAACTGATCAATCATTGCACTGGTGCTTAATAATTTCGTGTGCATAATGCAGTTTCTCAATCATCAATTCATTAAACTGGCTGCTAGTTAACTTTAGCGTCTTTTCCCAGAAGACGCGGGGCCAAAGACTCCAAGTCTCTGAGTCAAGTCAAGCTTTGCTATCCACCCATAGATTGCTCCCTAGTAGTAGCAGGAAAGAGGTGTAAGAAAGTCTAGGAGGAAAGAAAGACAAAGCATAGTGGATGACAAATGTCGATTCCTGTCTCGTGCCTAGGCATCTAGGAAAGATGGTGAGACAGAAATTTCGCTGGACTGTTACAGCTGAGTGGAGTGGAAGCTAATCGCCAACCGCGTGCTGCATGCTCACAATCGAAAATTCAAGTGGCAGTTTGCCCAATGCCTCTGCGATGGCTGATGAGCAATTCAGGCAGATCGAAGTCTGCGAGGCACGAGCTACAAACAAAAACGCATCATCCGGCCCCGTTGCATACTTCCCTCCAGGAGAATCACTAGTTCCCCGGTTTCCCGTCACTTGACATTTCGTTCGATCCCTCTATTCTTACACGGAAGAGATGAACGGGGACAGGATAAACCTGAGCAGGAACTCACCTCGTCGACGAATGCGGCGCGGCGCTGGCGAAGCTTCTCCTCGACTAGGCTGTCCCACCGATGGCTGGACCTGGACTGGACGTGAGGCTCGCGCGCGCACACACACACACTGAGTGGTCGGTATCTCAACCCTCGACCACGGGGGCGTACCTCGCTCTTCCCGGCCATGGTGCAGCCGGCGAGAGGATCCGTCGCGGCGCCAGTTTCGTTGGGCCCCGAGTGGCGCGTGCGTGGGCCTGCAGCCCGCAACTGTAGTGGAAGATGGGCTAGACCCAGACAACTATCCCTAGACAACTGGTTTCCCATATTTGGATTCCAAGGATGCGCGTTTAGTTTTTTATAAAATTCTTTTTTCAAGGAAAGAACGATGCGGCGAAAAGGCCTGTTTGGTGAAGTTTCACGTGCTAAAGGTACCCCTCGGTTCCAAAAAGATGCAATTCACATTTCACATCTTCATATGAATTAGCTGCGTGCAGATCGCGGATATATAACGGACATTAAGTTCTAATAACATAATATTTAAACTACTCGATTTTTTAGCACATGATAATACTAATATATTGTTCTCTTAAAATAGTTCAAAGTTTTAGTTAATCACTATATATATTGTGTCTAGATACATAGTATAAGCTATGTATATAGAAAAGCCAAAACGATTTACAATTTGGTACAGAGGGAGTATCTCTCAAATATACATGCTAGTAAAGCTGATATGTTGCTGAGAGAGGTTATTCAGATTGATTTCTTTTTCTTCCTTTTGCAATTGAAGGGATGTGTTGGTGGTTCCTCTGATCCACCGCTCGAAGGGCACTCGTATCGTTCCATCCACTTTCAAATAGAATAGCAATCCTAGAACCTACAAAAGATGAAGCATATTTGGTGTTCTATTTGATCCAATGCACAATACTTAGGGAAGAAAACAATGAGTTCAAAAACAAAAGGTAAATGCTTGACCGTAATTCTTCCCATATAGCTAAAGAAAGATGGTCTATAATTCTGGTACGTTATTTGAAGAGTTATTGAATTCTTGGGATGCAAGAACCATAGCTCAGACCGATCGATCGCTCTCTCTTTAGGTTACCCAATGTAGAACAAATGCCTAATGCTGAGAGTTCAATCCAAGTATTAACTCTCTAATTGTGATTTGTAAAGATTGAACTTGAACTTAGAGAGAGAGGGAGATAGTTCACTGCAGTTCACGAAAGAAACATAATTTGAATACTTAAAGTACAGAAACGGAATTGCAACGCAACTAATGAAGGAAAAGCTCATGAATAATCAACAGATGAATTCAAAAAGGAAGCAGGCCGGTATTCAGGTATAGGCAGCGGCTTAATTAACTGAAGTATTCCGAGTGCACCTCTGCTGAATATTACCAGTCAGAAACTCAGATGGATACGAGGTGCCAGTGTGGGCAAGAGCATATATATATCACAAACGCATGTTCTTACTATTATACCAAAACAAAGATGGACAAAGATAGCCTCACTTGAAAGACACATGCTCGCAAAGTATACGATAAGAGTCTAGTCTAGATCTAGAAGAGGCAAAATATATTAAGTACATAGTAGAGCATCAACATCAAAAGACGCCAAATTTTTGTAGCTAAGCATGAAGGTGCAGGGTACACCCCATATGGACATTACACTCAGCAAGCGTCTTCCCATCGTCAAGCTCGTTGTTATCAAAGGTGACAGTGAGACTCTGGTGGCCACTGGCCACCACCGATCTTTTCCTTGACATGTTCAATGGTGTTAGACGGCTCCACCTCTAGAGTGATCGTCTGGTCCGTGGACGACGTCTTCACAAAAAACTGCATGGGACAGTCAAGGTGTAGGGTGTGGATTGTCTCTGGACGTTGTAATTGGCGAGCGTCTGTCTCTGTCCATCTCCATCCACATCCACAAGCCGCTGTCCTTCAAAGAGCAGCCTCTGTTGGTCCTGAATCTTTGCCTTGAAATCGCCAATCTGCTGCATGGCATCATCACGCCGACTACAGAGGTCATCAAGGTGCAGGGTCGAATGATGCTGAACCTTGTAAAAGTCAAGCTTGCGCTTATTATCACGCCTGCTGCCGTCAAAGATGAGCCTCTGCTGGTCCTGTATCTTTGCCTTGACATCACCGACTGTATCAGATGGCTCTACCTCAACAGTGATGGTCTCGCTGCCATTGAGCGTCTTCACGAAGACTTGCATGCCGAAGTCGAGGTGCAGGGTGGTGTCGTTCTGGATCTGATGATAGGATCCAAACGTCCGATCATCCTCGAGCTTGTTGCCGGACAAGAACAGGCTCTGGTGGCCGCTGATCTTTCTCCTGACGTCGGTGACCGTGTCTGACGATGGCTCCACCTGGAGGGCGAGGGTCTTGCTCGTGCGTGTCTGGACGTAGATATAGATGCTGTCGTCGTCACTACTGCAGCATCCGCCACCTCAAGAGACAAGACGCATGAGAAGGGACAAGGTGGACTCCTCCACGACGTTGTAAGGGCTTGCCCAACGCGCCGACCTGGCGTGCTGCCCCAAGCTCCACCTCAGCTCTGTGTATCCATGTCAGCTGTGCTAATGGCCTCGCAGAGCTGCAGAGACTCCTGCAGAAGCAACGTTTTGGTCTCGTCTGACAAAAAGCCGAAGACAACACCGAGGCAAGCGTTGAAGCGCAAGAGTGATTCCTTGGTGACGTACGTACCCTGCAGCAGATGCTAAAGCAGAGAGAGTATGTGGTCCAATGCAACAGAATATATTAATATATAATTGAAGTTTGAGGCTGCTCTTTTAATGTTGGCGTCGGAAGATTAACTGCCTCGCTATGCTGCTCCGTCGATGTGGCGTTTGGGGCACTACAGAACGTTCGCCTCCGTTGGCCCTGCCCTAATCGGAAAGCTTGTGCCCATCTCTGAGAATCCTGGAGGAGTATAAAAGGTTCTGGTGCTGAGGAGGAATGCCCTCCAACTCCTCAAGCTTTGCCTTGACGCTGGCAACCGTGTCAGAAGAGGACTCCACTCTGACGGACACTGTTTTGCCGTCGAGATTCTTCACCAAGATCAGCATCTAAACACACCAAGCACACGTACGTACAATGATCATTAATTTTAATTAGTATCATGCATATATATATTCAGTTGTACCAAAACCAAACGGGAAGTGGTAGATGTAGACAATGCAATCATCATATATATCAGCAAGCTCGATCTCAACAATATGCAACCTAGTTAAGAACTAGGTAAGATATACTAGTTATCGATCATATCGAACATGCAAATTAACGTAGGAACTGGACGAATATTTGATAACTGGAGATTTATCAGGCCAAGTAATCTCGAATATTGTTGTGTTTGCATGTGCATCGACGTCGACGATCGATCAGGTTCGGTGTGTCGAATTAAAAAGCAGAAGAAAAGGGTGTCGTACTACAACTCTAAGTACGGAGCAAAGGCCAAGGTTAAAAGGATCACCTCGTCGTCGTCGTCAGTGGCCGCGGATGGCGTCGTGTCCTGGGGAGCTAGGTCGTCGATTCACAGCTAACTAACCACGGAGAAAGTCTTCATCATACTCAAAATATAACCAAATATAAAAATATATACGGCTCGGCCCAACTCAAAATCAATCTATCTAGCAAGGCCCACGCCACTTCTGCGGCGCTTTCGTGGGCCGGACCGATCGATCACGTGCCAGGCTCCGCTAAAATGCCTGATCCAGCTAGGTGTGATCAGTCCCGATCTCGGTCTCCGCGCTGGAGCGGGAGGCGTGGAGGGAAATTTCAAATTTGTCGTTGCCAAGGCGGCCGGCGAGGCTACAGTACGCGGCCACCGACGGGCTCGCCATTGTCGCCGCAAGAGCAGCGGCCGAGGGGAACGGACGCTAATGACAACCGGAGGGGCAGCAAGGTGATACTGATACGTGAGGGCATTTGCAACCAGCGCTCTGTTCGCTTATACTTCTCAGCCCGACTTATCAGCATAACAAAACAACATCGGCCAGCTTATCAGTTGCAAAAACCCTCAGCCGAACAGCTCACACCGAGAGGGTGCCCGAGTTCCGGCGATCATCGCCAAAGGAGGGAGCAGCAGTGGAGTAGAAATCAAGGAGAGACGATTCTGAAAGGCTATGCCTGGTCTAACAGATTGGGCAGCGGTACGTATGTACCTCGGTGGCTGCCGCCTGCTCGATCGGTGCAGTCTTGGGCAAACGTCTTGCTCTGAACCCCGACGGTGGCGCCATGGGCATCCTGCGGCGGGCTCCATCCCTGGGGGAGCAGGTCGCTGGGGTTGCTTGCACTGATTATTCTCAACAAACTTTGGAAATCTAACAAAGGTGCTCAGAGTGTGAAAATACACAATAGTGCGGCATCAAGGACGCTGACACTTACTCCACTTCTTTAGTTCCTAGGATATATACTGACCGTGAGACATTTCGAGGAACACGATAACATAGCGCTGATAATGAAGTATGTTGTGTCTGATTACCCGACATCTCTTGTCTAAACAACTCATTAGCAAGTAGTAGTACAACCCTAGTCTAGCAACTCACTATCCTAGTATAGAATGACTGCTACCTCTTTAGCAAGTACTGCCCATCCCTCGTTTCTAGCTTTTCATCCGCTACTAGACCAGAAAGGAAACTTTGCAGCTGCTGCAGTGACTTGTCATATGATGGCTCGGCAATACAGAACATCTGAAAAAATGAGAAAAATTAGAAATAGATCAAAATGTGAAGTAGTTAAAAAAAAAGGGACAATATATCAGATAAAGGGACCGCTGACCATGTTTTGGTCTTACCTTTAAAGTGTTATGTATCCTGTCCAGCGACATACTCCCAAAATTGGTTAGCATTCCGATGATGAATTTCTGCGGAGCATACACCATCCCAGTGGTTGAAAAGTGACCACAAACAAAATGTAAATATATATTATTCAGTATTTCTTCCTTTCGAGCCATACCTCGTAAACTGTCATTTCTTTCTTAAGTTGTTCCTCTACTGAAGCCACAGAGCTTTCACCTTCCTCCTCAGTCATTTGATACTCTGCCAAGCGTTCATTCACAGTACTGTTTTTGTTGACATCAGGCATGCTATCAACAACAGTAAAGGTGCGATCATCGGCATCTGGTCCTGCCGATTCAGTCAGGACCCCCTATATCATATTACAAAATTGTTCAATCTGCTTCTTAAACAGATCGCAGTTAAGCCCTTGTTTAGTTTGCGAATTTTGGATTTTGGGGCTACTGTAGCACCTTCGTTTTTATTTGACAAATAGTGTCCAAACATTGACTAATTAGGCTTAAAACGCGTTCAATCAATTAGTTTTTTTTTTTCGCTCATTTAATACTTCATGCACGGGCCGCAAACATTCGATGTGACAGGTACTGTAGCAACTTTTTGGATTTTGGGGTCCAACTAAACAAGGGCTAAGAATTAAGCAAGTAAAAATGCTTGTCCAGACATTATGCAGCCTAGGCCATGTATAAGATTGAGAATATCTTGTATTTTCCACAGATAACAAAATGCAACCCATATAGCTCGTGTAAAACTCTAGATCAGTGTGTTATCAACTATCTAGTCCATCAAACTTTTGCCCAAACAGCTAATATACAATAATATTGATTACACTCCAGTTTTGGTGGTGATGTTACCATGATCTGCACAATGACAAGCATATTTCATATAACAAAATTGAAGTATCAATTATTCACTGATACATGCGTGCCAGACCTTGCTTGTCCAGAAGCTTATTCTTCTGTTAAGAGAATCCATAGGTATGCCAATTTCTGTAGCAAGTGTCTTTGAAGTCCAACTGGAAAGTTCAATAGATTTAGTCAAAAGAGTACAAATGATACATACAATAATACAGTTCTTTAAATACCTAGATTTTTCTTGAAATTGCATTATGATTGCAGCATGCACAGGAACTACAGTAAACTGCATGCTTCTTCCCTCAAATTGCAGTTCTAACTGCAAAAGCAAAGAGAGTGTTATAGCTTATACCCACTTCTCATACCACGATATATTTTCATAGTACCCGTTAACTAAATCTGTTTTTTCAACCTTGACTGTTCCAAGATTTTTCTTCCATAATAGCTTTCGTGGAGTTTTTATCTGGTGAAACCGTTTTGCGTAATCAGATAGCAACTGATCAACTGAAGCAGGAACAACAAGGTCTTCTGTCTGCATTCATACCGGATACAAGAGGCTGGTGAATAAAAAGAACATACAAGAGATAGAAAATACTGACTGCTCAAATTACAGTATCTCCTAAAGATTTGATGTTCTGTCACGAAAACACTAGTGTTAAATAAACTAAGATATAAACAACAAATGTTGGTGTAGAATTTTTTGACAGTCAATTATCCAAACAACATTGAAATACTTTAGTTCTTTAACAGATGTGATGACATATTCAGTAATTAATGAAGCATATGTCTGCTGATTCGACAAGATAGCATGCTAATTGATGCAGAACTGATCTTGCCAATTCAGAGTTTAGTACTTGATTGACTAATGAGTCAGAACATATCAATTTTACAACTGTCAATAGGTTCTGACTGATTAATCAATCAGTATCACCATATCATAATGAGTATAGCTTGAAGATATTGAGATTCTTCTTCTTGGGTGTACAGACTTTCTATACACCACCATAGTGGTTCCCGCTACTGTTTTCCCTCAAAAAAAGTTGATAGGCCCTGACTCACTAGTCATCTGTCTAAGCAGAGATAAAGGGTGAAATAGGTAAAATGCTACTGATTTAGCTCCAGAACTACCACCATTAAAACATCCTTAGGGCATACCTGAATTGGTGGCCAAAAGTTAGACGATATTATAGTGGCATCCAGAACATCATGAGACACTTCTGCCTCCTCTTGCCCAGGAACTGCCAACAAAAAGGAAGTGTACAGATGCTGTTGCAGTATATTAAACTTTCTTTTGTAAGGGACTTGTGATATTTGAGCAGTACCAGTTTGGGATGTCTTCAGCAAAGATGTTTTAATGTTCGAGTTGGTTCTCTTCGAGTCAATCAAGTCATTAAGCATAATCTCACACTTCTGCATGCTGCTCTCACCAAAATGAATCTGCCAAAATAACAATATCACTGCTATAGTGAAGGAATGATGTGTCATGTGGCATAGGCAAATCTCTTGGAAACACAATTAAGAATAGGTCTATCATAAAATTAATAGTCTAACCTTCAGGAGTTCCAACGTGCGAATGTCTGAATCAATTTCGAAGTCAGATTTGTTGAGCAGCTTTTCTGCCAGCATTACACGGTATTCGTTGACTAGTTGGTCTTTTGAGCCAATTATACTAACCATTAGTCCAAGTATATCAACTTTCCTTCTGTTCCTGCTGCCTTTCAATGGGTCTGCTTCTACAGGATCGGGTTCCCAGCTGTAAAAGTTCAAATCACAGTAACGAACCACATTTAGAGGAGCGAACTTTCTTAGAACTCACAGAATAAGCGACCTTATGATCACTAGAATGAAGAAGATATACCTTTCAGAATTTAGCCATGCTTGTTTCTCATCAATGTTTGCATGATCGTCGTAATCAGCATTTTCCTGGTTTTCAGCATCTCTGTTCAACTCTTCCAGAAGATTGTCACCTGCATTTCCTGTTCCACTTGCACTTCCTCCAGATCCATCAGTTAGCATTGTCACTATGCATTTGATAGTGTCTTTTCTACCCCTCAGATAATCCCTAATTGGTTCACCAACTGCCTCCAAGAACACCCCGGTGGGGTCAATTGTCCGCAATGCCTTGATAGTGGACACATATTGGTGCAATATATCATTTGTTGATGCACCAGCAGTAAGTAGACGATATCTAAGCGACGAGATAAATGAGTCAACAAGCTTAGAGTGTTGGCCCGTGTACTCTAAACACAGCTTTAGGTCTTCTATAGCGGGAGAACTACATCAAAAAAAATGCCCAAAAAATGGATATGGATTCGGTTACATAAGATAGTAACAATAGAATGAAATCAAAGTAGCATTCATATGGTAGGTCAGAAGTTTCATATAGATGTATTAACAAACTTGATCAAAGCCTAAAGATCAAATGACAAGAGTATTAAAAGTATATGTACAGTATGATAGATGAAATGAAATAGGATGTTTGTTTTAAGGAACAGAGGAGGAGCAAAGAACAAAACTCAGTAGCATATAATAAATGATGAGATGCATATACGAGCCACAATATCATATTAAGCAATTCCTCCAGTTAGGTGAGGATAGCATGCAAGAACATAAATGTTGTCCAGATGGACACCGTTAGGAAAAAGACGTTGCAAAAGTTATCTCATAAATCAAGTTGCCAAAGTCTATGTATGCTAAGCTTCACATAACATCAGTCAAGAAAACTATTCAAGCGTATACAATATTTGGATTGTCAAAGCCCCTATTGAATATCACAGCACCATACAGGGGAAATGACTGACCTCTCAGGGTAATCTACAATTATTTCAAAAAGTTTGCCAATTCGTAGGTCCTGCAAGGTTTCATAAGCAAAATATTCAAGGCGCATGTGCCATCTCACAAGGGCTTCAGAAGGAACACCAATCCCTGGGAAGGAAGAAGGACGTGAAGCTAATGGTGATTTGAGACCAGAAGATCCACTGTCATAGTCCACAGAGTCACCGAGATATGTTAAAAGAGCATGCAGAAACTGAAGAGGGACAGCCTGACAAAATCCGAATTTTATGTCAGAGAACATGGGTGGACAAAATCTATAATTGAAGGCCCAAATTTTGTACTTTGTAAAATGGTGAGATGAGATGGTACCTGAATCCACTTCTTCACACACCCAAGGACAGGAACTCTATAATCATCACCAGCTAGTTCATAAATCTTAGACTGCAGAGTGAGAATGAGAGATAATACAAGGTCAGTTATAAGAACTTCAATAGGATATGCCAAAATAAGTGACGCAGACCTTTAAAAGCCATATTATTGCAGAGGAATAAGCATCTTCAGTTATTGATGTAAAACCAATACATCTAAGATCACGAACAACTTTTCCAATGTTCTTTACCAAGAAGCTACTTTCTGAAACTTCTGAACCATCAATGTCCATTCCAGAATGCCAATCAGAAGTATTACTTCTTTGAAAAGGTTCATGATCCACAAGTTGATCACTCTCATAAGATCCAGCCATAATAGTATTAAGTTCTTCCAGCATCTTCTTGAAATAGATATTCAATATCTCTGAAAAGTGACAGAGAAGAATGAACACTATTTCATTTTACAAAGTGCAACATTTTAATATGGTTGCAGAACACCGGTTGAATATACTAATTCTGCCTTTTAATTTAGAATTAACTATTACAATGAAGAATGCATCTGGTAAAATATAGTTGAAATCAGTTTGTCAGTGATTATGCCTTGCAAGGATATCGATGTGCACAAGCATGTACTCACTAAAGTACTGCAGTACAGTGATAGTTTCTAGTGAAGGAGGTGACAAATGCTATAAAATCCCTATATCAACCCAAGGAATTATGTGAGCTAACCCTAAGCGTAGGCGAAAGGAGAAGGTCCAACTTAGTACACATAACCTAACTTGCCCTAGTCAGCAGCTTGACAAGGTGTTGCCATCACAGGACCAAACCATGGGAACAACTGGTACCTGGACAACAAAGAGGAAACAGGGTGCTGTTTGTGCTCAGCTATGTATCATTTTTCATGTGTGTAGAGCATTATTCAAAGAAACAGTGAACAACATGTGTGTATCAATTTTTTCTTGTGTGTAGAGTATTATTCAAAGGAACAGTAAACTACATGGTCACTATAAGCTGGTGCAAACAACTGTGACCAATACAGCATTAAGAAAAGGCCTTCTCTACCCACAAAACAGAAGAAATGATACTAACCAGGAAAGCTCAAGGGCAGTGTTGTCAGAAGTACTGATGATACCATTAACTGATACCTAGCCATTAAGCTGGAAATACAGTCCACTGCTTTGAATTGTTTTTGCGGCGCCCTATCCTCATATGATTGAAAAGCTCGGACAAGAACAAGAACACATTTTTCCTGGTAACCCTTTTCCAAGCATATGTCCTCCAGTGCTTTACTTAAGATTTCCTCAGGCCAATTTTCCTTAACCTAATGCATGAATTGAGAGGTTTTGTTATTTTTTTTTAAAAAAAGAGAGAATAACCAGGTAAAAACAGGCGTTGAAAGTCCACGCCATCAAACTATAATAAAATGAAAGCAGGTCATTTTATTTGTTTATGATTTATGATATATGTAGGGTGCCACATACTTGTAGGAGAAAGATAATCTAAATAGGAAACAGGTAAGACACCCTTTCTTTATAAAATTCAAATCTCCATTCCAAATAAAGGTATGATCAGATACGGAAATTAGGTTTCCCATAACTTACACAGAACTTAATTCTCTCGACGGTCGAGGCACTGCAATAAGGATGAAAGTGCTGCCAGAACTTCTTGACTGCATTATTTCGAAATGTTTCCTGCACCAACAAGGACAGGTTGACAACATAAATTGAATAAAACAGAAAACTTTTGAAAACATTAGGAACATTTTAGAGTTGAAAGTTAAGAACTTGAAAAGAAAGCTGAAGGCCGCATTTGTAAATCCTACACTCCAGCTCTGAGATTTGACTTGGGCATGTTTTCCATAAACACCCGAGCTCAGGACAGGATCCCGATTCCATCCTCGCATATGCCCCCCAGCCATTTGGTGCAGGCATTCTCACAAACACCTAGTATGCAGCAGGCGCGAACCTTCACACCCTCCAGCTATCACCGCCCAAACCTCCACCGGAATACGGTAATAGCAACCCAGCCCATCAATAGTTATGTGTGCGCGCTCACGCATTAGAGAGGAAGAAGGGAACGGGGAGGAGAGGGTACGGTATGGACCTCGAGGGAGTGGAGGGAGTAGTCACGGACGAGCGTGGCGAGGCCGCGTGTGCAGAGGTCGGCAACGACGGGAGCTAGGCGTGGACCCACGGTGAGATCACCGTCGCCGGCGAGAAGCTCGTTGGAGAGAGAGCAGAATTGGGCCCACGAATCGAAAGCGCCGTCGGCGTCCTCCCGTTCCATGGCCTGACCGGCACCGCTAAGCGAGCGGGAAATGCACCCAGAGGTGGACCGACCGATAGGGCGAGGTAGGGCAGCCCTACCTCCCCTCCGTCGGTACCAACTGCCCCGGCCCCGGAAGTGCGAGTGTCGCTGCCGCCGCCCGACTGCTCGATGGGGATGACGGAGGTTGAAGACGAAGCGGAGAGGCGGGAGCAGTAGCATTGTAGGCTTCTGGAGTTCTTGGGCTAGCCGGAATGGTCCATCTCTATAGATGGCCAACGGGTCGGCCCGGCCTAGCCTGGCACGGGCCTGTGAAAGCACGGCCCAATATGGGTCGGGCCGGCACGGCCCGGAGGTGCCACAGGTCTGGTTTTCGGCCCAAACACGGCACTATGGGTCGTTTTTCGTGCCGTGTTAGCCCGCGAACCACGACCAGAATTACGGGCCATGCCAGCCCACGGCCTTAACCTTTGCATTCACATAATCGAACAGATCACAGTTTCACACATCTGATCAACGGAAGTTCCATTACCTCAAGCTCCAGGATAGGAGCACAAAAGAATAGCATTAATTATTACACATTAAAGTAAATTCGGTCTGCTCACCTATAAATCAATCAAATCGATCTTCACAAGCATCAAATCGAATAACACACCTAGTAGGCACCTGCCCCAAGCCATAAATGAACTAAATTGATCTTCATATGCATCAAATAGAAGAACACACTTAGTACACACCTGCTCCAAGTCATCGTGTGGCTGCTGCGCGTGGAGGGAAAAGGGGTGCCACTGGATCCATGGAGCCACCGTTCTTGGCACCGAGGAGGCGTAGGATGAGGTTACGGGGGAGGGAGCAGGAGAAGCCAAGGAGGCGATGCGACGTTTAGGGCAGCGGCGGAGCGTGAGGGAGATATTTTTCCCTTTCAACCAGTAAGACAGCTGCACGTGGATCCTACAGTTAGGGCCTGTTTAGTTCTCCTCAAAACCCAAAATTTTTTGTGTAGTATCCATCACATCGAATCTTGAGGTATGAGATAAATGTTTAATTGCCAGTTTCAGACCAACCTAATTAGTCCATAATTAGACAGCCAAATACAAACGTGGATCCTAAAACAAAATTTTTTAGATCTAAACGGGGCCTTAATCCGTGGACGTGGACGACCTCTCCACACGTGGTCTCACCACTTTGTAGAGAGTAAATACGTTTCTAAATCAGTCACTTTTTCTGTGTCTTTTCCTATCACAATTCACAAGTTTAATATTTTACCACTCAGTTCTGGCGCACACACAAATTAGGACGTATTCAGATGATCTGCAGATTTACATATGTTTCCTAGTGGTAAAAAATATTTGTGTATAATTCTTGGTAAGTGATTTATGATACAGTTGGTGTTGGGCTACATGTTGGGAAGCAAAGTTGAGTACAAACTAATCCATCAAAGTTTTATGGTCACACGGGAAAACAAAATTATTTTTCAGAAGTTTTTTGGTTTGACATGTTAAGTGAGAGAAGGGGAAAGAACACTGAGGCTTGATTAGTGATGAGTACTAAATGGGTTGTAAGAGCGTCCGCAGTGTGGGTTTCGTAGCCGGTTCGATGCATTAAATGCAGCTATAGCACCAGGTATGTAACATTGTGGAGTGATTTCGATGGAGGTTCAGCTTCGAGCTATCGACCCCGCCCATTTTCAATAAAAAATAGATCACCGCGGTGCTAAACACCAGGATATGGAGCCAAATCCGGTTCGACACACTGCGAGCTGAACACTAGAACAAGTCATGTTATTTGTGGGACCTAGGATAGGAGCGTCCCCGCTTCTCCGCACTCCAGACGCTCTAATATTATAATGCCATCAGTATAAACAGCTAGCTGCATGTCAAGTAATAACATTCTTAAAGTCAGTGTTGTTTATTCAACTGAGGGTACACGCCTAGTCAGCAGTGAATTGCTTGGTTTTCTGCTCAAGCCACTTTGATAAACTGTTTTGAACGTGTCATAATTTGTCTGTACGATCGTAGTAAACAACAAAAAAGTAAATGTGAGACATCTGTGCAGTTTTAAACCTATATATACATATCTCTGCAAGTATTTTATTGTTTGTCAAGTGCTCACAACTGCCTGTATATATAATGTAATAATGCTAATTTCTTGTGTGTTTCTTTGGTCACAGGAGTTGTATCTGGCCATGTACTGCATGGATCAATTCATGAGCCACGTCAATGTTACTTCTACATTGAAATTGGAAAATAATGATTCTTTAATTTTATTAAGTATTGGAATGACACACGTTGCAGGATATGTAAGATTGACTATGTTAGATGCAATTTTATTGGGTTTATGTGATGTGATGCATGGTATGCGTATGCCTACATTGGTTGATGCTTCATAACAACAAATATAGTACTTATAATAGATATAATGTAGTTGACGTTTGGATCCGATTGGTTTTCTTCTGTTGTGTTTACCCAAATCCTTGTTTGTGTGGTTAGAGCAAAGGACTCGAAATCCTTCAAGGCCCGTTCGTTTCACGAGGAATGGCTCTCAGGAAAAATTCCCGCCGGAATTGCTAGCTAATTTATACAAGGTTTGATTAGCTAGAAAAATTCCTGGCCTCATCCACTCCTAACCGAACGAGCCCTCAGTGGTTCGAATCCACCGCCTGAATGAATAAGCGGCGGGAGAAGAGAGCAGTAGCCACGGGTGATTGACCCACAAAGCCTTCAATTGAACTTCATTGATTCAGTCAGCCAAGCGCATCGAAGGCTTCGAAATCTCTCTCTCTCTCTCTCTCTCTCTCACACACGTGGCCGTCCTTCATGCCCCAATCATCGAAGCCGGGCAGAAAATTTGGAATCCGGCCGATCGGGGTAGCCAGTTCCAACTTAGGATGGATATACGTGGGGAAGAAGCTCCTAGCATCTTTCAGGATGATTTTCGTTTCCTATTCCAGTCTTGCAAGATCCAAAAGGCTATGAATGTCGAATAGTTCCATAGGAGTTTCGCCCGCCCCTGAATAAGCAGTAAGGCGTGGGCACGTTGGAACGGTCCTCTAATAACACCTCTCCGTAACTGCTACTACCACGTATGGTCGAAGTGGATGCAGTCTCATCGTAATTTCCAATTCCCTTTCTATTTCCTAATTTGTTTTCAATCTGCAGTCCTCTAATCCTAATCCTAATCCACGGTGACTTCTACTTCCTGATTATTGTTAACCTGTATAGTCCGCTAATCCTAATCTGCAGTGACTTTCCTTTTTTTTTTTTTGCGCGTGTTTAGTTCCACCCCAAAATCCCAAAATTTTTGTACCATCGAATGTTTGCGGCTTGGTTTATGCATTAAATGTAGACGGAAAAAAAAACTAATTACACAGTTTGGTGGGAAATTGCGAGACAAACGTTTTGAGCCTAATTAGTCCATGTTTGAACATTAATTGCCAAATAAAAACGAAAGTACTACAGTAGCAAAAAAAAATTCAACTTCCTGAAACTAAACACGTGGTGTGACTCCACGGTGGTTCCTAATTTTTGTACCAACGATGTTGAAATTTGGTTTATGCTGATACTTATCCATCGAAATGTTTTTTGAGAAAAAGTCCATCGGTCAATCAACATTTTCTTTTTTGTTTTTTTTTTCCAACCAAAGGTTTTCTGACTCCATAAACCAAAGACATTTTCTTTCTGGTTTCTTTTCCAAACCAACCAATGATTTTCATTTGTTTTTATTTTCTGATTTTTTAGCCAGCATGTTTTCTTTTAGTTTTCCGTGATTTTCAATTTTTTTTTCTGATTTTTCCATCGGTAAGTTTTTTTTTTGACAAAAGTCCATCGGTAAGTTTTATTTCCTTTTTTCTTTTTTTTTCTTTTCCAACGGAAAGGTTCTCGTGACTCCATGGTGGTTTCATTTTCTTTCTGGTTTCTTTTCCAACGGCATAGTTTTCCATGATTTTCTATTTGTTTTTATTTTCTGATTTTTTTCACCAGCATGTTTTCTTTTCCTATTGTATTTTTCATTATTTTTTTCTATATTTAGCTAGCACAATCCAAATCCAACACAAGACCACTTTTTAAGCAGCCTGCGTCTAGGCGATGATATGAGTTTGATTCTAAGACATTAAAACATACTCGTACGATGTAATCGTTTCCTAATCCTATAAACCTTTAAAGCCACAGGTCATCTAGGTGACGACGCAACAATGTACAGACACTTTTGCTAGTTATATATACATTTTATTGATTAGTAGTAGTTCTTTCTATTTTTTTCACTCTATGAAGTATCCACGAATATATTTATTCATATAAAATATAAGATGTATCTTGTACAAGAAGTAGATGGCTAAAAAATAGAGTAAAGTTTGTTTTGCATCTCTAAAACTTGTCGCTGGATTTAAACAACATCGTCGAACCTAGAATATCAGACAACTTACACACTGAACTTTTAAATCGAATAAATTATCTTCCTAAAATAGTTTATAGTGGTTTTTATGGTGGTTTTGGCTGACATGGCATGTGGGAGCCCACATGTCTTTGTTTTTTAAGTAGTCTTTTTATTGAATATTTGAACTCCCAGATGATCTCAAATAGAAAGAAAATCTACTAGAAACTTTTATATATCTCCTTAAGCACTACAAATTTAATATAGAAAGTGTCCGCATACGAGGTCATTTGATTTTTTTAAAACAAATAAATTTCATAATCAGAGAACTTTTTTCATAACGGTAATACCGAATTTCATTACTTCAACAACGAAATTACAAAGTTCAATGGAGTACCAACATACTAAGGGCATGTTTGGATGAGCTAGGGCTAATTACTTGTTGGGCTAAAAATTAGCTCAAATTAAATCAAATTGGCTAGCTAGTTGGCTAACAACTAGATGAAGACTTGGCTAACAACTATTAGCTCTAATGTTTGGATACACCAGACTAATTTTAGCTAATTTTTAGTTAGTTAGCAATTAGCTCTTGTATCCATACTAGCCCTAAAACTACTTCTAACCTCCACGATTCTGATCACAAAGGGATCAGCCACCATGAGAAAAAAGGTTACCAAGCAGGATACACCACGCCACTAACAACACTCCCACCTAGCAAATGTTTGCCCCCTAAACGATCTCAAGTAAAAAGGTTTCCAATCACAAAGTTATAGATCACATTGATATCTATAACTCTGGTATAGATCACCTCAACGTCCAAAAGCTGTTTCAAAAAAATTAAAATTTTGAATTTTAAAATTGTGAGAACTTAAAACAATTATTTATGTCTCTAAATGATTCATATAAAAAATATGAACTACAAATTTATATATTGTATTTCAAGCTAAAAACTTTGATATAGGCTATGTCAATATCCGAAGTTATTTAAAAATTCAAGTAAATTTGAATAAAATGTGAGAAATGAGAACAAATGTTTGGGTCTCTAAATGGTGTCATATAGATAAAGTATCAGTTACAAAGTTATAGATTGTATTTAGAGCTATAACTTTAGTATAGATCATGTCAATAGAAAAATTGAAGTTTTGAAAATTATAATTTGATAACCTAAAACGAATATTTAAGCCTCTAAAAAATCTCAAACAATAAATTTGCCAACTATAATAAAGTTGTAATTATATTGAGCTCCACAATTTTAATATAAATTTGTATTAATCCTACTTCAATGAAAAAGTTATGATTTTATATATATATATGAGAGAAAGAAAGAAACCACTTCACATGGGGCTCACCACCACATTAGCAAAACCACTTAACAATCCACTTTGAAATGATTAAGAGGGGTATATTATTCTATTTTAATAAAAGTTATAAAAAGGATAAGTTATCCAGTATTTGAGTTTGAGGCCGTCTTTTAAATTCAACAATAAATTCGAGGAGATAAATCAAACATTACTCATTAAAATAATATATCCATGTACCAATTAAATTGTTGGGTAAGATAATTAATAAAGTTTCCGACAATTAAAAAAAATTGCCTCCAAAGAAATTGTTTTTAATACTAGTTCCTAATACCCCTTCTATCCCAAATAAATACACGTCTCATTTCTAAAAAAAAAAGTTAAATTTTGAAGTTTAACTAAGTATATACAAATTAGTATCGATATTTGCATCAATAAATAAATTTATTATGAAAGTTATATTTCACTATCAATCAATCTGATGATAGTTATTACCCATCACATATATGATTATTAATATATAAATGTAAAAACGTTTGATTTTTTATTATAGAAAAAAACGAGATTGTACACCCATGGCGCACTTCCGTACCACTGATAATAAACAGGTATACAATCAGGAAAACTTTCCCCTCTCCCTCGGTCTCGCATTTCTGCGGAAACGAAAAAAATACAAAAATAACACTCAGATGAATGATAAGCGACTTTATCTGTGTCTATGAACGGTGTGTTCAGAGTCAAATCTACAGACGATCGAAACAGTCATTTTTTCAAATCGCCCCGCGGAAACCAAACCCTAGACGACTAGACCTAACCACCATGGCGCCCACCGCCGACACCCCGTGCGGCGCCGGCGACCCCGATCCGCTCGGCGTGGAATCTCTCATCGTCGTGCCGCCGCCGGATCCCAACATGAGTCGCGGAACCTCCTCTCGGCGACCCCTCTGGTCACGGCGAGGGTTTGACATTTCGCCCGTGCCGTCACCTCTTATCCGATCCAAACAAGGGGAGAGGTACCGCGACCATCAGCACCACCGCGCCCCTGATGAGAACATCCGCAGTCCGCGCTTCTACTCGCCGCTCAGGCGATCGAAGTCAGTGCCGTTTCCCAAGCGGTCCCGGTTGGAAGACGGTCGCAAAGGATCTTCAAGCGGCGGGTACGGCTATTCTAATAGGATGTACGAGTCACTGTACCTTTATCGTCTTGGTCTCAGTGTTCTAATGTTTCCTGTGTTTCGAGAGGCAGGCACTGTTATAATGATGAAGAGGGAAGTGGAAGCAGAGGCAGATATGATGATGGTCAGCACACCCAAGGTGATCTTCATTCACAAATTCCCCCTCCCTCACAACCTCACAATTGGCATGAGTGTGTTTTAATCAATTGTTGCTATGGTCCCCAGAGCTGGGCTACCCAACGAACTGTGACCACGGGCACCTCTGTCTTGGCGGTAGCAAGAGGAACTCTAGCCCACACTGCCGTGGCAAAGGAAGCTTAAGTGTCCAGCGCTACCCGTCACCAAGAGGGAAGTCACCATTGCCAATGCCAATGAAAATGTCTCTATGGGATGATGGATCAAGTCCAACGTATAGTTTGACTTCTCTTTTGGGCTTTATCTCTTGTTTGCCTCTGTGTTCTAAGTTCAGATGCTTTTGGATACATGCAGCTACTTCTGTGGAGATGAACAATATACACAGAGGAACTCAAGCCCAAACGACAATGGCAAAAGAAGCGTAAGCGTCCAACAACAATCGTCGCCAAGTGGGAAGCCACCATTGCCAATGCCAATGGAAATGTCTCCATGGAGCCCCACGAGTTCAACGTAGAGTTCTACTTATCTTTTTGGGTCTTATCTCTTGTTTACCTCTGTTTCTACATTCAAGTGCTTTCATGTACATGCAGCTACCGCTCTGAGGATGAGCAATATATACAGAGTGGTTCACATGATGATGATCAGGGTGGGACCTCAGGTATAACTTCACAGTTAGACTTAGGTACAGATTTGTTCCAAATCATAATATGAAGATTTGTTCCAATTATGATATATAAACAGATTTGCGTCTTTTTAACAATTACAAAAATGATTTTCAGATTGCCGTGGTTCAACATCTGGTTGCTATGATGATTCAAGAATTGTTGGAAGGTCAGGAGTTGTTGGAAGGTAATCTACCTTTTAGAACTTATGTTGGGTTGTTTGATGCATTGGAGCTAATACGAGTTTCACTCTTATCATTGTGATCTAGTTGTTGTTTTCCCTCCTATTGTTTTGTCATTGTATTTACCCTCAGATAAATAGTCTCATTCAAATGTTATTAAGTCATCCGACTAATGATGATTAGTCAGGCTTAGCGGTGCCATGGCGATCAGTTATGCACTACGATTAGTCAGGTTGATCGGTGCCATGGCGACTAGGATCGGTTATAACATTGGTCATTTCGTTTTTCACCCATTCTAGTCATGGCCTGAAACAATTATTTGAACAGGGAATCCAGCTTCACAGAAAAGGAAGATTTTGCATATGATGCATTGGTAGATGATTTTATGTCTGCTGTATCGAAAAGTTGGTACAATCCTGTTCCTAATAAAACAGTGGATAAAGAAGCTCGCCAAAAGCAAACGAATCGATTTTCTGAACTGGCTCTTAAGCGTTACAACAAAAACAGAAACAATAAGGTAATTACTTTTTTCTCCATGTTCTTTCCTGCAAGAGGCTGACTTGAGTGTTAGATATAATCCTCATGTGTACTGCCTATCTAGCTAGTACTAAGAGTAAGAATAGGCAGCTCAGTTTGCAGTAGAAGTCAATCTATAGGCCTGGGCGTTTGGTTTTAACTGAAATTTTGGTACGGTTTTTCTTCTTTTTTATTTCGATCAGGATCACAAACTGAAGTTCTACCTGAAAAATGAGAGACTGACAGTTCGGTCTTTGGGTTTTTATTTGGTTTCTCGGTTTCACCTGAAAAGGACCGATGCATCACATGTAGTGCAGTCTGTGCCGATATACATTAACATCATGGGTGCAGTCTGTGCAGATATACATCAACCTCACAGCACAGGCACAACCTCACAACACATGCAGTCACAGGCATCGTGCCGACACAATCTAACAGCACATTAGTACATCACAGGCAGGGCATCATCAGGCTTTAAGAGCATAACACCTTAGTGCTTGGTCTCAACTTCAAACACAATCTGACATAAATTGTTCTGGCAACCTGGTACTGCAGCACTTCCAAGTGCCAACAGCAGTAGTGCATTACCAAACAACATAAAAGTGCAACATCACAGAGGTTCACACATGACAGAGTTCTAAGATATTAACACAAAGTGCATTCATAACAGAAATTAAATATGTGAGAGTCTAGGAGGACAGCCATCAGGAATTTATAGCAGCCACCAACCAGCAAGAGTTCTTGTTTAACACAAATGCTTTATTGTATATTTGTTTGTTTAGGTTAAATATGCTCTTGTTGAGGCAACAGTTGGTGGTGCGATTTTTGAAGACTCTGAACTTTATGCCCATGTGAATTTTTATGCCAAGGCCAAGAATGGACCAAAGAAGAATAGTGGCAAAGTGCTTGTATTCGCAGAGTTGCATCATATTGGCAGGCGTCAAAATGCTAAGGTTCTTACATGCTTTTGCTTTCTGGATGAAAACAACCAATTCGGTATGTATTATTTAGATCTTAATTCATGTTTAGTTTCTTCTTTGCAGTATTGCTTAGATAACTCGTCATTAAACTTTGTAGGTGGGCGTCGCGATCAAGTTCAAAGACCCATTATTGCTCAAGATATACATCACTGTTATGCCTGTAGTGATAGAATTAAGCATCCTGATGGATCATGCTACAAGGCTGGACATGTTGTTGATATGCTGTGCTATCATTATAACTAGGCAGTTGTTCAAACATAAACACAACAATATTTAATATAACTGCGTGAGTGGACAAATGTTTGTGTTGTATATAATTTCTGGGTGGCCATGTGACGCCGCCTTTTGCGAGCTTCAAAATGTGAACATGCACGTTGACTTGTTGACGCATGATGCCAGAATTTGGTTAGCATTATGGCAAATTTGTTTTCAGTGATTCGTAACAGTGTCACTTAGTTATATTGAAATTGAAAACAAGATGCGTTTTTAATGAAATATTCGCAAGAAAGAATATTTTGTTGTGCATAAGATGTGTATACAATTGCCCTGGCTCTGCGTGCACGGCGTGGCACTGTAGCAGTAGCAAAACCAGCTCCTCCAGCTCTGGCTCCTTGCCAGCGAAACCAACAGAGCCAGTGGAGCTGCCTTTCTTGGGCTCCATCTTCGTGCTACAGTGCACTATAGCGGCAGAACCCGAGAGAGCCTGGCCAAACAGGTTTTTTGACAAACAACAAAAGAAGCTACCAGAATGACCTTTTTTTTAATAATTGTTACTGTTACTAGGTGAAGCAACGGCATAACACTTGTACATATGCATGGGTGATATCCAACTGACGCCACCAAGAATACAAACCCAAAAAAAATATAATCCATTCAACTTTAGTTCTTTTGCTAAAGCATCATACATGTCTAACGTGTGTATTCATCATTTAAATAAATAACTATATATGACACACCTGCTCAAATGTTTTTCTTGTATGACAATGAACTAGTATATACTTATATGAATATGAAGTACGAAGGGCACGTTTGGATCCTTAGCTCCACCTTGCCTTGCTTTGCTGAACAGGTCCGTGCATTCGTCAGCGCACGCAAATTTTCGTCCGACGTCCATACATTCGTCCGCTACACTGCTGCTCCCAGACGCGCTCCGACAGGTAGGCCTCTTCCTCTCCGGTCTCCGCACGATGCACCCAACAGGTTTGCCCACCCATTCCCTTTGATCCCTTTCAAAGATTATCAGCCGTACATGTGCACACCGAGACTTAATTTGGCATTTCACCCATCATCAGAAACGGGTTTCGCAGTTTTACCATCCCTCAAATTGGTTTCGCAATTTTGTCATTATGAAACGGATGCAATCCGCTAGAATACACTTTGGATAGTTTGAAGACGTCTCCTTCCATTCCTACCCCTGGCGTACAGAAGAAGAAAGTATCATGCATGTCAGTCAGACAGATAGTGGTTGATCGAGCTGACTTACCATAGCCATGATGATGATGTCGAGGGAGGAGGTGGTGAAGGGGAGCACATTGGTGTTCATGATGGAGAGGCCGAGGCGCTCGATCTCGGAGAGGGCAGCGATGAGCACCCCCTTGCGGTTCTCGCAGTGGATCTTGACGAGCACCGTGCGGTCAGACACCCGGGCCTCGATCTCCGGCAGCGTGCCGGAAGCGTCGGTGCCCACGAAGTTCTCGTCGCAGGAGGAGCCCTCGTCGTCGTCGGCGGACAGCTGGGACTTCTTGACCAGCACCGCCGCCTCGACCGGGCGCCGCCGGGCCTCATCCTCCAGCCCCTTCACTTGGTCCTGCAGCTGTTTCACGTACTTGATCGCGTCGCCGAGCACCGATGCCTTGTCCATCTGCGAGCGAGAGCAGTCAAATCAGTTAGTTGACCGGACCTGCCTGGCTGGCTGGCTAGTCGCGCGCTCTCGGCGCCTTCGCGGCATGTCTCCATGGATTTAGTTTGGGCGTTCGTGCCTGTCTGTTCCTACCTTCTTGAGGCCAGGGACGATCTTGGAGAGGGCGATGAAGCGCTGGCTGAGCTTCTCGCGGCGCTTCCGCTCGGCCAAGATGTGGTCCTGGTTCTGCGACGCCGGGCGTGTGGCGGCGGCGGCTGGCGCCTTATTGGCGGCCTCGGCGACCGCGGCCATGTCGTCGTAGGAACGCTTGGCCGGGTGCGGCGGCGGCGTCCATCACCTCCTGCTTCGGCGCCTTCGCGGCGTCGAAGTACGCGGCGTTAGGCGCGTGGTGCATCGGCTCCGCCTTGACGAACGCAGCCGCGGTAGCGGCATGACCGCCGAAGGAGAGGATGGTCGGCGAGGAGGAGTCCGCGGGGGAGCCCTGCTCCGTGATGCACGAGTCCCAGCTGGTGTTGACCTTGGCGGCCTTGCGCGGGCGGTGCGGGTGCTCGGCCGCCGCGGGCTGCTGCTGCAGCAGCATCGGCATCGTCGACAGTGTCGCCGCCACGGCGTGGTCCACCTCCCCCTGCCCGAACGCCACCGCGATCTGCTGCTCCGTGTACCGCTCCAGCAGCGCGTCCGACTGCCACTGGTGGAAGAAGCTCGGCTCGTCCATCACCTGCGCACGCACTATTCAAATGAAAGTAAGAGCAGCCAGGGGTAGGAATGGAAGGAGGCGTCTTCAAACTACCCAAAGTATATTCCAACGGGTTACATCCGTTTTATAATGACAAAATTGTGAAACCACTTTGAGGGATGGTAAAACTGCGAAACCCGTTCTGATGATGGGTGAAATGCCAAAGTCTCACTCAAAGAATTCTGCGTGGTTGACATGCTATGCTGTATAATTTGTGCAAAAAAAGAGTTGTGTTTCCTTACAAATATGCCTACTTAGTTTGGTCAGATTAATCCACGTTTAGTGCAAAGGTTGTTATTTCTGTTCTTCCAGTCAAAGATAGATGCTGATATAGTTATTGTTGCCTTGTTGGAGCTTCTTGATGGCTTGGCTCAGTTACCAAGTTTTCTGAGACCTAACACTCAAGAATTGTTAGAGCGCCTTGATGGCTTGTCTCAGTTATCCTTTTTTTTTAACTGCAGTTATGCAGCCAAGTTTGTGAAAGAATACATTGACGAATCGAACCTTTTTTTAGTGCAGTTAGGCACAAATGGTTCAGCTTAGATGCTGATTTGTGAACAATAGAGAAATGGGAATCTTCACTTTCAGCTATCAAGCATGTTTATTGCCTCTTATCTTCTTTTTGTTTTTCCACACCGGTAAAACTAAATTTCATTACCGCAGCAACGAAATTACAAGAAGTTTTCAGAACATGTCCATCACCCCATCACAGAAAGAGAGATAAAACCGCACTCAGGCACAAGATCACCAAGGGAACCTATGCTTGAGTACACAAACACTACTCCTAGAAGTTTAACCGCATTACAGCCACCAAAAACTTGGCAACGCTGACATCACAAAATAAGACAACTAACCATTAATAGTTCTTCCAAAAACTGGGCACGCCATCCTTGCAGATCAACCAACATACGGCACCAACTGCTGCTCTGAGACAGGCTGCTGGTTCTGCTTGTGGAAGAAAAGGGCCACCGTCTTCACCACATCAGCACCTTGGACAACCTGTGTCTTCAGATCCTCCTTCAACAGTCCTGCCCAATACGTAAGAAAAGAACAGATCATACAAACAATCTCAGTTGGAGATTTGATTCGTTTGTTGTCAAAGCAGACAGCATTACGAGTACGCCAAATTGCCCAACAAACAGCCGCAAGCCCAACAGCATGCATTTGAGGGCTATGAGGAAGAATCTTATGAACCCAAACCCAATACTGATCAATGTTACTTGGCGTACAATCCGTTCCCAGAGAGTATGCCAACAGACTCCAAATGTATTTCGCAGTCAAACACCCAAAAAAGATGTGCTGACCATCCTCCTCCTCTGTGCAGAAGGCACATGTTTTATTTCCTTTCCATTTTCGTTTACATAGATTATCCTTAGTTCCTTAGTTAGAATTGCGTTTTGCGAAACCAGCCACATGAAAATTTTGATCTTTAAAGGGATCTTGGCTTTCCAATTTTTCTTGAAGTTAGGCCCATAATCATTTTTACATCTTGTAAAAATGATTATGGGCCTAACTTCAAGAAAAATTGGAAAGCCAAGAATTAATGAGGGTCAATCAACCCCCTAGACTCAGGTGAAAGCCCTAGTTTGGTTTTGAATAATTGATGAAACATATGCACTAACCTTTGTCATGAGTTGTGATATAAGCTAGGTTGGTGCAATACAAGTGTGAAGCATGGTGGCACTCAAGAGATGGTGATGGTCACATAAAATGATGAGATGGCCACATGTGATGATGATCAAGTGCTCAACTTGGAAAAGAAAAAAGAGAATAAAAAACCTAAGTGTGATCACATTTAGAATAGATGGTCGTACTATCAAGAGGGGTTCTCTACTAAACAATTCGGTCATCTAGTGCCACTAGGTGTTGGACTTCATGCATTGTATTTAATCCTAGTGCACAATTGGAGAGCAAGAGAAAATATTTAATGAAAATGTTTTTGAGAAATGCTAACTTTGCTCTAACATGTTTTGGGAAAACACTTTGAGAGTTAGCATCGCTTACGGGGAGTAGCTCGAGTTGCCATGGTTCGAAACGCGACAAAGTTTGCAACTTAGCAAGCTAGTGGTGGCGTCTAGGTGGCACCGCCACCCCTTGTCCGATGCACCGTCACCCCTTAGGCGGTGCCCACCTGGACATGGCCGAGAGCAGCAGGTTCGGGGTGGTCACCGGACATGCCGATGTACGCCGCCTCGGGCGCAGCGGTGCACCGCCACTGGGTGTCTAGTGCCATCGCCGTTTTTTGGCAGAGAGCAGAGGGAACCGAGAGGGGCACCGCCATGGTCACCTCCTTGGGTGCGGTGGTGCACCGCCCTATTTTTCTAGAGAGCAGGGAAAACGGGGGCTCGATAGGGTGGCACCGCCACCACTTGTCTGGTGCAACCGCCACCCTGTCCGGTGCCCCAACGGCTAGTTTGTAGCTGTTGAAATTCGACCGTTGGAGGGCACCGCCGCCTGTCCGGTGCCAGGCACCGCCATGTCTGGTGACCTCGCAGAAATAGCTCCAAGGGGTACAACGGCTCTGTTTGCTTGTGTGGCTATAAATTGAGGGTGTGGTTGGCCTTGGCCACTCTCTTGGCACCTCATACACTTGTGCACACCCTTTGGGAGCTGAGCAAACACAATCCACTCACTTGCACACTTGATTTCATCATTTGAGTGAGATTGGTGAGCCGCTAGTGCATTGCATTGAGTTGCATCATCTTGTGGCACTAGTTGGGTGATTTGGGCTGGTTGTGAGCTTGTTACTCTTGGTGTTTGCCGACACCTAGACGGCCCGGTGATTGGAGGATAGTTGAGCGGAGTTGGTGATTGTCTCCGGCCTCGATCGGTTGCTTGTGCGGGTCCTTGACCTTCTTCCGGCGAAGAGCCAAAATGTACTCTATGGATTGCGCATGTCATTGAGCTACCTCACTTTTGGGTAGGTTCTTGCGGTGTCCAATTGTGTGGACGAGGTTCGTGCAACACCTTTAGCCGCTGAACCACCAAGTGTTGGTCGACACAACGGGTACTAGCGTGTCGGCAAGCACGTGAACCTCGGGAGAAAAATCTTGTCTCTTGTGTGATTGGATTTCTCCCGGTGATTGGTTGTCATCTTATTGTGATTGTTTCATTCCTCAACACGGCGGTATAATCACCTTACTCACTCCTTTACATTCCTTGCAAAACTAGTTGTCAAGCCCTTTAGTGTAGTTAGTCTTTGAGAGCTTGTTAGTTAGGCTCTTTAGTTAGTCTTTGAGAGCACACTAGCTTAGTGAGTAATGACCTAGCTTGTTGTGTGCCTAGTGATCATAGCAACTAGAATTGTTTGGATAGGTGACTTTCAACCCTTGTAGAGCTAGAGCAAAATTGCATTAAGCCGTTTGTTGTACTAATCAATTGCTCTAGTGCTTTGTAGAGTTTTTAAATAGGCTATTTACCCCCTTAGCCATATTAGGACCTTTCATCAGGGCACTACCCTTCCAACCATCCAATCTTTTCATTAACTTCTCAACAATAGGTAACCAGTCAGCCACATGGAGCCTGGAGCTAGCCACAGGGACTCCAAGGTATTTTATAGGCCACTTGCCAATAGCACAGTTGAACATATTTGAGAACTCAATGCTTTTGTAGCCATCTTGACTTATCATGATAACTTCACTTTTAGAGAAATTGATCTTAAGGCCATACATGGCTTCATACAGATAAAGAAGAAGCTTTAAATGTGCTGCCTGATCTTTATCATCTTGTAAACACAGGATTGTGCCATCTGCATATTGCAGAATAGCCACTCCATGCTCAATGTAATTTGGCACTAAACCAGTGATCAAGTTATTTCTTTGAGCAAGAGAAATCATCTTAGCAAAGGAGTCAGCAGCAATGTTGAAGAGAAAGGGAAACAGAGGATCCCCTTGTCTAACCCCCTACCAAACTTGAAGTAACCACCATTGGTATTGTTGATTTTAACACTGACTGTTCCAGTGACCATAACCAATCTGATCCACTCACACCACTTTTCACAAAAACCTCTTTGCCTAAGGCAGTCAAATAAAAACTCCCAATTCAGCTTATCGTAAGCCTTTTCAAAGTCCAATTTGAGGACTAAACCATCTTTCTTCTTCATTCTGGTGTCATGGAGGATCTCATGTAAGGCTAAAATACCATCCATAATATTCCTGTGTTTCAAACAACCAGATTGACTCCTATTGATGATTCTACCCATGACCTTCTCCAGTCTTAACATTAAAGTTTTAGTGAAGATTTTGTAACTAACATTAAGCAGACAAATTGGTCTATACTATTTAATATTGTTGGCTTCCTTCACTTTGGGCAGAATGGTGATCACACCATAGTTAAATCTACCAATGTCCAATTTCAGGTTATGAAAATCAGCAAAGAGGGCAACCAGATCACCCTTAATAATTTCCCAACAGTGTTGGTAAAACTCCACAGGGAAGTGATCTGGGCCAGGAGATGTGTTTTTCTCCATTGAAAAGATTACCTCCTTAATTTCAGATTCAGAAAAAAAATTGCCCAACTCAACATTTTCTTGTTCAGACACCACTTTTAGGTTGATCCCAACACTCAGGCTCCATGTGGAGACCAGAAGGGGTAGAGGGTCCAAACAATTCTTTATAAAACAGGGTGGCATGAGCCACCAGGGCATCATCCCCCTCAATGATCTGCTCATTGTGATTCAGAAAAAAAGATAGTATTTTTTCTTTTATTTACCATTGGCCATACGATGGAAGAAGGCCGTATTATTATCCGCTTTTAATAAACACGTGCTATTTGATCTTTTGTGCCAATAACTCTTCTCTTCTTCTAGGAGCCCAAGAAACTTAGTTTGAATGAAAGTCTTTCTATCCAGGTTATTAGCAGACACAGATTAACTTTCCTCAATTTTCTCCAAAACCTCAAGTTCTTCTGTAAGATTCTTCTATATTTTCTAGTATGCCCCTTAAGACTCTGCCCCAGCCCTTAAGGAACTTCTTGACTCTGTCATTTTGATACTCCAGGTATTAATGGCAGATTTGGCCTTAATCTTCTTTTCCTAAATTTCCTTAATTTTCCTGTAAAAGTCCTCATGCTGAAACCAAGAATTTTCAAAGCAAAAAGGTCTAGAGCCTCTCTGCTGGTGGAGATCAGTGCTCACAATCAAAGGATTGTGATCAGACATATACCTAGAGATTTTCCTGAGATTACAAAGGGGAAATTCCACTTCCCAGGAGCTAGAAATCAGCACTCTGTCTAGCTTTTCTACAGTAGGATTCTTCCTATTGTTACTCCAAGTAAACTTACCACCAGCAAGAGGCAGCTCTCTTAGTTCGTAAGAGTTAATGATCAGATTGAACACAGCAGAGAAATTGTTATCATTGAACTTCTTGTTTTTTTCAGTGCTAGACCTCAAAATATTGAAGTCACCACCCATGAGAACAGGGTATTTGGCTTTGAAACAGAAATTTGACAGGTCAGTAAGGAAGCTATCTTTAAAATCATCTTGAGCAGGACCATACACATTCACCAAGGACCAGTGCTTTTTAAGATGTTTGTCAAAAACATTAGCACTAATCATGTACTCCCCATTATCAAAATTTTCTATCTCAAACCTGTCATTTCTAAAACCACTTAGCATACCTCCTGATTTGCCACTTGAAGGAGTCCAGTGCCAACTGAACTCTTTGGCATTATCAATTTTTCTAAAAAAACTTATCAGAATAAGACTTTTTCATGGTTTCCTGAATACTAATGAAATCAGCTTTATGATCCCAGATTAATTCCTTAATAAAAGAGTTGAGGCCTTTCTTTGCCACCCCCTACCATTCTAGATTATACATATCATTTGATTAATGAATTTTCTATCCCTGAGATTAAATTTAGGGCTAACCTTAGACTTATCTCCTTCAGAATCAACAAGCCCCTCTAGGATGGGCCTTAGTTGCTCTGGCTTTCCTCTTGTACTTTTTGGAAGACCTACTCTTCCTAGTACTAGCTATAACAACACAGGGTTCATCTTCAGACTCCTCAGAGCCCCACTCTAAGACATTCTGGTCTTCTAAGGGAAGAACTTCATCTTCCATACCAATATCCTGAACCACAGAGTTGCTAGAGTGTTCATTAAGTTTCATTCTAGCATTTTCTAAGTCCTTAAGAACATCAATTTTCTCAAAGGAGAGAGATTCAGAATTAATACCCATTTTAGAAGCCAAATAAATAATATGAGTGTTAGTCAGAACTGCAAAGGAGTTCTGGTTGACAGAAAGTATACCTTCATTTTTCAGGACAGTCTTAGACTTATCTTGAATTGGCCACCCATCTTCAATGGAGAAGTTCCAGATTCCCAGAGCCTTTTGCTCTGCCTTACTTGGTGCCATTCAGGCCAATCATCCTGATTCTCCTTCTGCCCATCCTCCACCACAGGCAGAGGATTAGTACCATGGTTCTCCCAGGGATTATGAGCTTCAACTGGCATTTTACTTGCTGCAGATATCTTGCTTGTAGCTGTCTCAACTTCAGTGGCTTCAGAGTTCTTCACTACTTGATTGTTGGCTAAGATGGGAGATTCCTTATGCTGTGTTGTATCAATTTCCATTTCAGCTATCTCAGATTTTTGCCCATCTTCTTCCTCAATCAGTTCCTAGTCAATATCCTGGCTTTCCTTCTGCAACATCTCTTCTTAGCTAGAGAAATCCACATCTGGAGCACCTTGACTGCCTTTAACTGGGCTTATAGACACAGCTCTTTCCATAGTGCCCTCATCTTCTGTCTTCCAATATAGTGGGCAAGCTTTTACTGGTACCAGATTTGGTTACAATATCATCAATCTGAAAAAAAATCTCCTTGCTACAGCCATACAGAGCATTCTTGTCCTCAATGGCTGTTAAGGGATCATATCTGTACTTCATCATGTTGGAGCCGTACTCATTTATCACAGTCTGAGGATTAACATCCACTGTGATGCAATTGACTTTTCTGATCTCCACTACATCAAAATTGCCAAATCTAAGTTGGTCAGAACCAGGTGAATCAAGTCTCCAATCTTGAGGCCTCCATCTTCACTGTCTTCTTCTATAATAGATTGTTGTTGCTTCCCTTGCTGGTAAGAGCATTCTCCAGTTTGCTGCTTTCCTTTGCCTTCATTACCCTTGTTACTAGGATTAGCTACAGAGGGCTATCCACTATTCTTAGCAGTGTCCATTTTCTGTTTCTTTGGTGAGGGTAAGTCATCCTTAGGTTGCTCCCTATCATTTCTGATCCGCTGGGTACCAGCAGGGTTGGTATAACCATCCTGAGGCACTTCTCTTTGGAAGAAGTAATCATAGAAGTGAAAATCAAGCACACCATCAATAGAAGCAGGAACTTTAGTCACATCTCTGCACCCAATCTTTACTCTGACATAATCATTCTTGTATAAGTTGTCTTTGTCCACTTCCAAAGGAAGCCCCACCTTAGAGGCCACCATACACATTTGAGTATAATCTCTTCTCATGAGGGATATTAGTTATCCTAAACCAAGCAACATCCAGGGCTCCCTTGGAGCCAGTAGCAGGATTCCATTTCTCTAACTTGAACACCACTTCAGGCATGGATCTCATACGCATTTTAGTGAAATGAGCTAAGTCCTCTATAGTCTGGGCATTAGGGAACCTCATCTGGTACCTGCCTTCCCCCACTCTCTTAGCATACCACCTCTAGGTTGAGTTTGGACCTGCTTTCAGTTTGAATTCATTCTCCATTTGTCTAGCATTTGCTTAACCAAAGGTGATGGTAATCAATGCAGTAGTTGACATGTCTTTGATCCCTTCAATCAGATGAAAGCCCTGTCCATAAGCTGACAAACCACAGAAAGGGGAGATAAACTCCCATGGCATCTTAGTGACACAAACCCTTGCCACATGACCCTCCTTGTGACATCTAGAGCAGACAACAGGGTTAGGACAACTATTAGCAGGATGTCCCACCATGCCACACCTATGACAGATTTGAAGTCTATTATGTTGCTCAACAGGAGCAACCTGATCCCCATTCTCACCCTCCTGAGTAGCCTGACTGTCACCCACCACAATCTGAGTAGAATTGTTAACAGAAGCTTCAACCTCAGCATTCTCAGTATTCTGGGCAGGATTGGACTCCTCTCTCTGCTCTTTCGGAGGTGTCTATTCGTTTTGACGCTGGATCCTTGCATCTCTATTACCAAAACCACAACCGTCTCCCCCTTGGAAATGACCTCCACCTCTATCTCTCCCTCTCGGAACCCAACCCCCCGATTGCCATCATACCCTGTATTGAATCGATTTGAATACTGCTGACGACGATCCATACTTCTCCTGGGCTGCTGAGGAGCCTGGAGAACTTGTGAAAACGATCGAGTGTCACCGCTAATAGTCGACCAGTAGGAACTCGACGGAGCAGCACCGCCAAGGGGAGCTGCTACCGTAAAATCCCGCACCAAAATCGCCCCATAAACTCCAACCTCTACGCTATGGCTCCAAAGGTGAACTAACCGAGCGCTAAGATCCGCATCCGGATGGTCACTTACCTCGTGCGGATGATGAACCCTCCTCTCCACATGCCCCATAGCCGTGACTCAAGAGGACTCGCTAGGGTTTCCGCCTTCACCAGAGAAAACGGAGGGGATAGGTGGAGATGAGGAGTCGGCGAAGGGTTGGGAATCTTATCCCCCATGGGACTATGGTCTATGCTCCTACCAGCCGCCCGCCATGGCCTAGAGGACAGCGACTGCAGAGGAGTCGAGCCATGGACCGTGTCTGCGGAAGACGAAGACGACTCGCGTTTTGGATAATCCATGAAAATAGCACTAATCTTTGTCATGAGTTATGAGATGAGCTAGGTTGATGGTGGCTCTCAAGAGAAGGTGATGATCATATAAAATATTGAGATGGCCACATGTAATGATGATAAGTACTCAACATGAAAAGAAGAAAGAGAAAAACAAAATTCTATGGAGCTCAAAGCAAAGGTATAAATAGGGACTTTGTTTCGGTGATCAAGATACTATAGAGAGTGTGATCATATTTAGAATAGATGGCTATACTATTAAGAGAAGTTTTTAACTAGACAATTTGGTCATCTAGTGCCACTAGGTGTTGACTTCAAGCATTACATTTAGGCCTAGTGCATTTCAGAGAACAAGCGAAAATATTTATGAAAATGATTTGAGCAATGCTAACTTGACTCTAATATGTTTTGAGAAAACACTTTGAGAGTTAGCATCGCTTGAGGGAGTAGCTCGAGTTAACATGGATCGAATCGCGCAAAAGTTTGCAACTCGGAGAGCTAGTAGTGATGCCTGGGTGGCACCGCCACCCCTAGGGCGGTGTTCACCTGGGCTCAGTAGAGAAGGGCTGAGAGCGGCCAGTTTGGTGTGGTCATCGGACATGCCGGTGTACACCACCATGGGCTGTCCGGTGCCACCGCCATGTTTCACCCGAGAGCACCGAATGCGAGGGGGCACACCGCCATGGGTACGACGGTGCACCGCCCCTTTTGTCCAGAGAGTAGGGAAAACGAGGGGCTCGGCAGGGTGGTCACCGCCACCCCTAGGGCGGTGCCACCGCCACCCTATCTGGTGCCCCAACGGCTAGTTTGTGACCATTAAAATTTGATCGTTGGGCAGGTCACCACCATGTCTGGTGACCTCATAGAAACAGCTTCAATGGGTATAACGGCTCTATTTGCTTGTGTGGCTATAAATAGAGGGTGTGGCCAGCCTTGGCCACTCTCTTGACACTTCATACACTTGTGCACACCCTTTGAAGCTAAGCAACACACTTCACTCATTTGTTCACTTGATTTTATCATTTTGAGTGAGTTTGGAGAGCCTCTAGTGCATTACATTGAGTTGCATCATCTTGTGGCACTAGTTGGGTGATTTGGGCTAGTTGTGAGCTTGTTACTCTTGGTGTTTGCCGACACCTAGATGGTCCGGTGATTGGAGGATCGTTGAGCGGAGTTAGTGATTGTCTCCGGCCTCGATCGGTTGCTTGTGAGGGGTCTTGTGCCTTCCCCGAGTGAGCGCCAAAGGCAACTCTAGTAAATTGCTCGTGTCATTGAGCTACCTCACTTGTGGGTAGGTTCTTGCGGCGCCCCTTGTGGTAGGCTAGGTGTGTGATACCTATTAGCCTCAGAACCACCAAGTGTTGGTCGACACAATGTAGACTAGTGTGCCGGCAAGCACGTGAATCTCAGGAGAAAAATCTTATGTCTTTTGTGTGATTGGATTTCTCCTGGTGATTGGTCATCTTCATATTGTGATTGGTTCATTCCCCGACGTGATGGTATAATCATCCTACTCACTCCATTTACTTTCTCCCAAACTAGTTGTAGCAAGCTCTTTAGCGTAGCTAGAATTGAGAGTTTGCTTTGTGGTTTAGTTTGATCTAGTGGAGCTTTTTAGTATAGCTTTCTTGAGAGCTCTTATTGAGTAGCAACATATCCTTGTTGTATGTCTAGTGGTTATATTAACTAGAATTGTTAGGATGTGTGGCTTGCAACCCTTTAGAGTTAGAGCAAAATTACATTACGCCATTTGTTATACTAATTAATTATTCTAGTCAATTTATAGAGTTTTAAATAGGTTATTTACCCCACTCTAACGGACCTTTCACTCACCTCCTGACTGCGCACATGAGCCAGCCGCTGTAGCCTGCGCCCGCCGCTCGGACCCGTTCCGCTCGCATGCTGTACCCTTCGCTCGAGGACACGCTGCTCCCCTCGCCATGGCCCGCACCGCCCAAATTGCCCGTGTCGCCGGTCTTATCTTCTTCTTTGTGAAATACAATCAGAATGGACTTGTGCGTAGCTACAATGACACTGGAAATGCATTTCTGACTCCTTTACTTCCCTGATCACCTTGCTACTACTGATGTATTACATAGGATTTTTTGCACTTTCAGAGATGCATAGGAATAACATGTTTTGTTAACAGTCGAAATGGCTCATGCAGATGGCATCTTCGGAACATATGAAAGAAAGAGGGAAAGGGCAAGGGATGTGTACGCGAATATGCCTCAAGACCGAATGCACATCCACTGCATGTAGACCCCAGACAACATAAGAGGCAACATGATTACAGGATAGAGACTGGTATGCACAAATCCCTGTCCAATAGAAGGAAGAGTTACTAAAAATGCGTAGTGAAAAATACTAATGACAGAAAGCTGCAACTAACAAAGCAGTCAACACTATTAATTGTCAGGTATAGTATGGATAATTAATTGTTGACGTTTTTTAAAGTTATGTGATCGTGAATAAAATGCTCTTTTTCTGTCACGGTGATTTTCTTCCCGATTCATGTGTTGCAGCCTGTCATGCTTGGGCCTTTTTTTGGCTAGCTCATGGTTTAGGGTCTTTTCTCTTTCTCAGTTTACTAGTAGAAGCCACGCGCCCCTGCACACGAGCGCAGGTGATCATCTAATCTTATGATTGGTATACCTTATTCACATAAGCATGGCAAACCTGTAGATGTTAATGGATCTTGGCAACAGGAATGGATACTATTTTCTTTGCAAGTGCAAGCCTTGAAAACTAAACTGTGACAAAAAGGAAAAAAGATCATGAGAACAGAGTGGGACACTGAGAGACAGAACCACAGATGTGGTTGGCATAAATCTCAACTGAATCGTGCATTTGTACCAGGAGCTAAATTTGCTTGGAATAAGTGCACACTAAGAGTATTCTGGGTAGCTTTGAGCAGTACCACAAATGAGCTGCAGTAAAAGTTACACTTTAAGCAGGCCATGTTCTAAAACTCCCCTGCATGTAAGGTGGGTCATGGATGGATGTTAACTAAAGTTGCCTTTGCACTCCACTCAGTCCAAAGAACATCTGTCCGATCAACCAAATGTGAAGGTACTGCATCTGCGAAGCACACAGCTATTTGTCCTCAACAGTATGCAATGAGGGAAGGATTGGATCAGTTGCAATGGAAGCTAGTTAAAAAAACAAACTAATCATTACAATGTTGTACGATAACATGTTGCGCAATTGAATTTACTATGTACGTTTCAAGCATCAGATGACCACCGATTTGTTTGTCACGTATACTCTAAAGCCCCCACCCCCAAACAATATTATATTGTTGTTATACACATGCACATTGTTTATTGAAGCCCATGTTCTTACATATCAGCACGAAAAGGTAACCAGCAGCTATATATGCACATATGAGTAGAAATCTAGTCAAAACTATCATGCCTAACTCAGCAGACTGGATGAGTAATTTAAATCGATATTTTGATTCAATACTTTTGGAGATAAATTAGTATAAGTTTGGTTCTTTAACATTTGAGGTGACAAATCTTGGTTAGCCCCAAATACAGTAGACCCAAAAGATAGTCTAGATACATAGCCAACCATATGTTGTTCTGCTTTTAAGATTGGTAGGGCGCCTGCAAACATGCACGTATCCATAATCCAGATACCTTATTGTCATTAACATGTGGCGAAAAAACGCAAAATAGCAATAACATGGAAATATTGCCAGATTTGACATATGGGGATGCCCACCTGCAATGTGAAACAAAAGATCACAAAAGAGTGATAATCATGACTGCATATTATCAGAAGCACCTCACAGGTATCATCATATGCTCAAGTTGCAGTAGGTACACCAGTAGCAATGGCATATGCTAAGACAAAAATAAATAAAGCACCCTAGGCACACACCTATATATAGTGATGAAAAGACTACAACAACAGAACAATGCATTGAGACAAGCTTTGATTTTTCTGCCACAAGACAAACCTTATGCATGAGCAAAATAAATTCATACATACAGGAAATAGAATCAAGGGATCGGAGACATAGAGCAGAACATTGATCTTCACTTCACAACATATTATTACAGTAATAATTGGAGAGGTGTACATACCTCTCATTTCATGATTTTCACTTCACCTTTGGGGGCACACACCTGTATATACTGATGAAAAGAGTACAACAACAGCACAATGCATTGAGCCAAGGTCCGATTTTTCTGCAAGAACACAAACGTTATGCATGAGCAAAATAAATTCATACGTGCAGGAAATAAAATCAAGGGATCAGAGACATAGAGCATTATACTGAGTTGCACTTGACAACGTATCATTGCACTAATAACTGGAGAGAAGCACATACCTCTCATTTCATGATTTTCACTTCACCTTTGGGAAACCCTCCACTGTCATCATTTTTTTAAAAGCTGGAACCTAAATTTGCTTCATCCAAAAGCAAAAAGAAACTGATACAACAACGAACATAATTAAATTTATTTTGAATCTTGATTAACAGTTCCCTTGTTAACCAAAGCAGCACATGTAGGTAAACTGCATGCATTAAAAAAAAGAATCTAGATATGGTGATATGGAACAAAGGAGACTATTCACCCTAGGAAGATACGAGGAGCACGAAGAAATTGATAGCTGGTAGCCTGGCACTGCATCCGAACTATTCAACTAAGCAAGGTCAGGTTACTAAAAAGGCTGTAATTTAAGATTAAAAAGCACAGGAATGTTGCCCTTCGTGGGTGGAGTTTAGACTACTAAAAGAGATAATGTGACAGTCTGTACAGTATT